TTCGGATTTTTACCTACATGAATGAGTTCAGAGGACTGCTGGCAACGTTTTGATATGCGACAGAACATGCATGAGTAAGTATTCAGTGAATGGGTGGAATTTCGGTATACCAACGAGATTCGCGTTGGCAGTGACAAGATCCTCGGGTTGAGTGACGGGTTTTGGGAGAAAGTGGCAAAATTTCAACCGGATTAATTCGCGCCACGTCGGGATTATCCCTACGCGCTCCATCGGACGTGTCGTCGAAATTAGAGTTGCCTCATATCCGACTCCCCCATCCAGCCATCTCTAATTTTCTTCTCCCGGTCACCTGAACCCCACATGCGGTACCCTACCTGCCCACCTGGGTTCAACCTCGCGGCTTTCTTTCACCGCAGATTTACCAAAAACCGAAAGAGAACCCCCGCTTTCCTACCTCTTTACCGACTGCGAAGATCCCCTCACGATGTTTTTACCTCCTCTGGAAAACTCGTCTTCTCCATAGCGGACGAGAAGGGAAAACACAAAGAAGACACATGCATAATTCTTGTAATCTCTATCTCCTCTAAAGTTTCTGAACAATCTGTCCTGATATCTGATGCTGTAGAACGTACGACGTATTTGAAGCTTACTTTCAGGAACCATAAACCAAGCCACCTAAATTGACGTAAGGACGGGAACTACCCTAACAATACTTTACCCCTGTCTACCTACCAAGATGCCTCCTCATACTATCTCGCCAACTCCTACTTCTCAAGGCTTAGGTATATTCTATTCAACACTTTCTCCTCCACCTTTGAACATGACTTCCAATCAGTCCCAAGCTCCTCACACCTTCACAGGTATGGGTGTAGGTCCTCGAGCGATAAACAGCGTCTCTCAGGAAAGAAGAAGGCTTCCTGTTCCTATCGCTAAACATCGACGAAGTCAATCGCCAGATCGACCTTTGAATGTTTCTCCTCAAAGACATGCTACTGCTCTTCCTCAACAATCCGGACAACCCACTCAACCGGTCTTGGCATTGCGTCCAACTCATACTCGTCATCAATCCGCTCAAGGGTTTGCGAGCTTTAGTGCTATACCCCCTTCCCCCATCAGACCTGCGGGTCCTCGCGCTCCGTCTATGGTGTCGCCCAGGTCCAGCATCGTCCCGAGAAATTATATCCCAGAAGTCATGACCATCCCAGAATTCACAGAGAAGCAAAAGAAGGCTCCTAGTAGGAAAGAATCCAACGCTTCTAGTGTGGCAAGTACCAGCAGACATATTCGACCTTCCAAAAGCTCTGAATTGTTACAACGAATAGCCAGAGCGGGAACCAGAAGCGAAGAGGCCGTCACTAGTGGACGGTATACGCCCTTGTCAGATCGAGATGACCGAGATCAAAAACAATCAGCTTCATCTGCCATATCTCGTGGATCTTCCACTTCGACTGTCCAACCAAAACAACGATCTCGCAGTACGACAACTTTGTCAACCCTTCCTACTCCGCATATCCCATCTGACACACCATCTCAAGGGACACATCAAACGAATGACTCTATAGGGACGTTTGGTAGTCTCGCACAAGCTCCCTTTCCCGAACCTCCGCCTAGACAGAATTCCAATCATTCTGCAAACACCGATCGACAATCGTCTTCCAGTAGGGTATCTCCATATACGAACCCTGTCACATTACCCAGTGAAGGTCCTTTCAGACAACCTATCTCAGTGCAACAAAACCGTTCTTCCACTGAAGCAGTTGGGAACAAACGTGTATCAGACCTTAGTTCTGGCACACATTCCAAAAATGCCGTGCTACTGTCAGCAGAAGGAGGTGGGATGATGCTTGCTTTCTCACCCAATGGAGATGGACTGTTCCGTCCGGGTGCCATGATTGATGGCCGAAATGGTGGTGTTTTCACTCCTACACCCGATACAACAACTTCAGATCATGTCACAGGTTTTTTACAGTCTGGGAAAGGTCAAGCATCACGATCGCGACCCTGGAGTGAGGATATACCCTCTCAACAACGCATACCAGGACAAAGAGGGCGAAGCTTATCTGACGGCGCTGCTATTTTGGCCAGACAGGGAACTTTGCTACATCCCGCTTCGAACTATAAGCGAGCGTCGGCGGAGCTGGGTTTGGTATTGGGAAATAAGTCAAGACGGGCAAGTAGGGATAGATTGTTTTCTCCTCCCAATCCTCAGGACTGGCCGAATGCCGATGGGCCTCCCCCAGAAGCAGTGAGAATAGAAGCTGCCAAAAGGCGCAAAGCGAGGGTTGAGATCGATGTCATGCTTGAAAGAGAATGCGTGGTCGAAGGTGGTGAAGTGAGAGGTAGGATGGAAGTTAGAGTAAATGGCGGTAAGAGGTCCGATGGATTGCGAGTTGGAGGAGGTAAAGTCCGTGTTGTAGGTTTCGAAGGTAAGTTACGACATATCGTACCCTTTCATGCTAATGTTCAGACCTCGGGGATGCGAGACATATCTTCTACCATCAACCTCACTCCTTACCCATATTCAACTTCCAAGATAAGACCGGACCAGCTTGTTCTCTCTTTGGTGACGCACCCGACGAAGAAGGCTATCGTCTTGCTCTTGAAGGTATCCACAACATTCTGTTCAACATGCGTCTCCCTCTAAACGGTGGTGCAAAAGGATCCTACGGTATTCAAGGCAAAGGTCCGAGCGTACGATACGTAGTGGTCGGTTCTGTCAAACTCATGACTGCTACAGGTAAACGAAGTATAGCTCATTTCTATCGTCCCCTTGTAGTCCTACCTTATCTCAACCCTTCCACTGTTCTCGCTCCCTCGGCCGAGCCTATCGCAGCCAGTGTCGAATCGGGTTTAGGATGGAGTATCACAGGTGAGAAAGGAAAAGTTGTTCTATCTGTGGCTTTGGGTCGACGAACTTGGGTCAGTGGACAAAGAGTATGGTGTGAAGTTGGAATCAGAAATAATTCCACTCGTAAAGTCAGTAATCCTCTTTTACGCAAGAGATCAAGACTGAGATATAGATAAAGAGTTTGAATTTAGCTTTACTCCAAACGGTTCAAATGTTCAAACCGGACGAATCCCTCGATACGGAACATAGTCTTTTCAAATCGAGAAAGTCTGAACCGGATGTCGATGCGTGTACCACTTCGACGCAGAGGAAGAGGATCAGTGAGGAAGTTGTTGAAGCTGATTCTGTCGGACATGGTGGTGGACATGTGACTGGAAAAAATTGGTGGACTGGGATTGAACCTGGTCAAAGAGGACAATGGGACATGTCTTTGCAAATCCCTGTAAGTACCATTCCTCTTTCGTTACTCCATTGTACCTCTATCATCATGATGTTTTCACCATCCTCGCACACATACTTGTCTTCGTTACTATGACCCATGAGTGCAATCTGAATGAAAATGCTTGTATCATGAAAAGAGTTGAAATGTATCATACTGACGTCACATAGGCAGGAATTGTATCCATACGACGAACCCGTTTACTCGAAGTGATCTATACACTTCGCGTCACTGTCAATAACAGCATATATGTCGATATTCCTATCACGATAATCAACTTTCTCTCCATCGATCCTCCTCCAATGCCTGGAGACGGACTTTATCTTCTCGCTCAAGCCACCGTTCCCACAGGAAGGACATCAGTCTCACCCTTAGACGTACAACCCAATACCAAAATGTACAAACCTGTTGAAACAATTCCATTAGCTTCTGATCGAGGTTCTTTGGCCGATCCCGCTAGAGCTAGTTCGACGACGCTACATATCGATTCCCTACTGGCCGCAGGACGTGTAAGAGCGGAAGCACAAGCACAAGGATTGAGTCCGAAATCTATTCCATCACGACCAATGTCAGTAGGAAGTACCTATACCGTAGATCGACGTAGTCAAGAGAATCAACGATCAGGATCATTCTCTGTCGAGATCAACGGAAAACAAAGAGGTGTCCGACCGAAAGCTTCGAATTTGACTTCGTACCTCTCCGACCGATCTGGAGAGGGAAGTCTGGTGGAGGAAGATGAAGAGATGGATAATACCGATGATCCATTGTTTGTCGCTCAGAGGAAAGAAGGAAGAGAACGTTTGGCGGCTATGACAATGGCTATGACGAGGGATGAAGTATCCCAAGAAGATGGTAAGAATCAAGATGATATTTCACCAGCTTTAGGTCAATTTAGACCATTGGCTACACCCAGTGAAGAATTATACGAATTAGGTGTCATACCTTCCGTTGGACCGTTTTCAGAAGGAGGATATTTATCCGTTCGGGTGTCAAATGAAGCTGGACAACAATTATCGGTCAAATCTCGTCAATCTGGTAAATCAGATATTCGAGCTACATCTCCTCTTCACATACGAAAAGGAGGAAGTGTCAAGAACAGGGATGTCGAATCCGACGTTGGATTGAATCATGAGATCATCCAAAGTGGTGTTTCACAATTGACACATTCTCATCCTACATCTCGACCCAACGATCCAACCTCTCATCACACATCTCGTCCTACAGATCCATCATCTCAGATGAGAAGAAAGGAGAGTGAAGAGGAAGAAGAAAGAGACGTAGGAGATGAAACAATCATTGATGATCTACCAGATCATCCAGGAAACGAAACTTTACTTGACCATCTTATCGCGCCTACCAATGAGAACTCTTGGGAACCTCCTTCACCTAAAACATTCGACTACACCGAAGAATTAGAAGCTCCATCACCTAAAACGAATTATCGTGGATTCGGTTTTCTTGGTCGTAACGATACTTCTTCATCCGCACAATCACCATATGGTTCTATAGCTCCTAGTGCCGTATCGGTAGCATCTGAACAAGAATCTGAACTTGGTCAAATACAAGAAGCTTTTAAAAGAGATTTCTCAATACGATCACCGAATAAGATTCAATCTTCCAATCGACCGGATAAATCAGAATCAGGACAACTTTCACCAAAAAGTAATCGGAATGACACTCCTCGTAGAAGATCATCATTTCCAAATTCGATACCAAGTCGAAAAGATTTCGATAGATCAACTCCTAGTCCAACTTCTAAGAATAAGAATAAAAAAGATATCAATAATCCTACTACACCATCACCTTTACGTCCAGGAGGATCAGAAGGAAGACGTAGATCTTTAACGATAACAGTTTCTCCAGCAAGAAGTTTATCACCATTTAGGATAGCACAAGCTGTTCGACAATTTACACCATCTTTGAAATCTTTAAGACCTCCTGGTTTACCATTGATGTCTCGTCAAGTTTCCTCGAATGCGAATGTCAATACGACTACTAGTTCTCATCTAAGAAATGAGGTTTCTTTATATCCTTCTTCTTCATCTGGAGGATCTGATGAAACTGTACCAATGTTAGCACCTAGTAAAGCATCTGATTCAGCTTCTTCGGATAGTCATTTGGAAAGTCCTCCTCTTATTCATCCTTCTTTAGCAGTGGCAGCTGTCAACATGCCTGATTCGACGTATGATATTCGGATGGATAATAATGAAGAATCAATACCGATACCAATATCATCTGTTACTTCTATCAAGGATGATCAAGATAAATGGGATCTGAACCATTCGAATTATCCGAATCAATCAATTCATCAGGATCATTCAAAAGAACAAATGTACATGTTACATCCTAATGATCATATCATTCCTTCCAGATCACATTCACCACTTTCTATCCATTCAATCCGTTCCCATCAATCTCATCGTTCTGCTCGTTCTGGTCATTCAGTACAATCTGCTCAATCAGGTAAATGGGAAAGAAGTGGTGAATCTCCAAGTGAAGATTCAACACATTCTTCAACTTCTATATTACCTTCTGTACGTAATAAAATCCAACAACTGGAATCACGTCAAAAAGCTTTGAAGAATTTCACTGTGGCTTCTGCTTCTACAAGATTATATGATTCTCCTCAACAAATCAATACGAACAGTCCAACAGGATCACCAGCGAATAAAAGAAGATCTTATACTGCTGCTTTAGCACCTAGAGAGGTTCAACCGGTCTCTCGTGATTTATACAAGGAGATGAATTCGACAGGGTTGAAACAGAGGAATTCAAGTATAGGACATACTACTTATGTTGGTAGGAAAAGTTATTCATCTCCATGGGATAAAGATAGAGCTACTCAATGGAATAATATCTCTACCTGGGGGAGAGATAATGAGAGGGATCAAGAAAGGGAGAGGGATAGACGAATTCAATGGGATAGAGAGAGAAGTGGTGGTATGTGGGATGAAGATAGAGGGGGGAATATGGAGAGAAGAAGAAGTAATAGTAGTACAGTTAGTAATGCGGAAAAGGTTTTGATAGGTAGGAATCGATGGGGTATGAAGGAAAGAGAATTTAGGGGTCATGTGGCGGAAGAAACGGATGATAGTGAAGGTTTGTTGTGAAACCACAGAATGTTTGTGGGGACTATACAGTATGAAGTTTTGAGGTACCTATGGGGGAGTTTCTGGGTCTAGAGATGGTTATGCATGTGTTCATCAGGTATTTTACGATGGAATACTCGTAAACTGTGCTTCGAGTCAACTACCCTCACGCCCGCACACCTCAGGAGTGACTATGGACGTTCCCACGGCCACATGTCAGAAAAGTGCCACGAAAGATGACGTAGGATTGCGGGGCGCGTGGGCAGTGTCAAAGTGTCTCGGGTCGCAGCATCATACCCAACAGGAACTGTTAACTGCAGAAATGTTGGGGATGTTGACATGTACCAAAAGGGGAGTATCAAAAGTCAAAGTGGAAGTAAGTCGTATCTCGAACCGGAGACATGGATTGTGAATGGCTAAGTAGCCGTCGTCAAGGGGGATTAATGTTTACGGATGGAATGTCGAAGAAAGTTTCGTCTCCCTCGAGGTCGCGTGAAAGATTATTTTGACCTGCCAAATTTGGAGGACGGACTATGTACAGATAAAACTAGTATTCGTGAAGTGTTGTAGAGGTGAATAGATCACGTCTTTAAGAGCATTATTCGAAGCATACGTATCGATACATAGGTACATGGGTTTACCCACTAGTGAACAGAATACTTAGTCGAAGCGGGGTAATCCGGGGCCATGATGTCTCTTTTACCCTGGCCATTCACACCCAAACCCACCCAAACCCCTTGCTCCTCTTTTGTCTCTCCCACCATCCTCATACTTTCACTATAATCCTCTATCATCCAACCTACCACTCAACCGTGACGCAGTATCGAAACCATCTCCTACCCCCAGAAATAGAAAGTCATAATCTACAACCCCGCAAATACGTTTCATGTCTTGAAACGGTAACTCTTTGACCCCCCCCAACCAGGACGCTAAAGTAACCGTCATCACTCGCCTTTACTCTCTTGGGAGTTTCATATCTTAATTCAGCTTCACGACCATCTCTATCCTTCTTTAAATGTCATTTCATCGTTTCTTTTGATACATCATCTCCTATTTACCCTCAGTACTTTATACGTTTCCTATCCTTCATACTCGATATAATTCAAAAGACGAAAAACTACTACTAGTCAATATACACCGCCGTTACAATCGAATCGGGGTCATCATTACTCCACCCTCCCTTTGAGGGCGTTTCAATTGATATATCTGTTTGTCAAACCATAATGTCACCTCCTAGACCTGTTGGAGTGGTAGGACAACGTTCTGGTCTTTCACCAGATGCTGGGAATAGTAGAAATAGAGAAGGTAGAACACCTCCACCTGCTCCAAGCGCGGCTTTCGCAAAGAGGGCGCGTGAGATAAGAGATGAAGTGGGAGTTAACAATGTTTCTCCTTTTACAACTTCAGAAACGGAAGAATTAGAACAAGAAGATCAAATCAAGGATACTACAGTGGATTCAGTGGTTGTAGGTTTCAGAAGGGCTAGGGCTGGGTGAGTTTTCAGTTTCTCCTATCTATCTATCCGTCCTTCCTTCCTTCTCAGACTTACCCTGTGTGTAACATGTCGCTTGTGATAACTTGGTTACCGACAGAACCGGAAGAAGTTATTGAAGTTCTCTATTACCAGTGTTAACAATGTAGAACCCTCCCTTCTAGTCTTCCTGCTCAACGTCATATCACAGAAGAACCACCTATGACTGCTACCCCTCAACTCACTCGTACTTCCGCACTTTCACCTGCTTATCCCAATTCTGCTCCATCACGTCCTGCCCTTCGACACGCAGCGTCTTCAGCTGCTAATTTAGAAACACCCACACATGTCAATCGTATTCGTTCTGGATCACTCACATTGCTTTCAAAACCTTTAGGCAACGGTTACGGCGCTTCTTTATTCGCACCGACCATCTCCAATCCATCACGCTCACCACTCGGTAAATCTGCACAGACCGAAGAGAGCGATTTTGGCTTCACTTCACCTTCGGGTTCAGCGGCTACTCTGGGAACAGAAGATCTTCAATTCTCTACTCTAGACTATCTCGGTTTGGCGGAAGGGGGAGATGCTTTACTTCCACCAGCATCAATGACAGAACTTCGTAATCAAACCCTTCGAGCTATCGCAAATAATGGTCCTGTCAGTCGATTGAGAGCTTCGACAGTCTCTAATTTCAATCGTCAGGCGTTTAGACAATCCAGTTCAGCAACTTCTTACCCTCAAAATCATCAAGAGTATCCGAATGACGAAGGCATGGTAGGGGCTATGGAACAGATGGGATTATACGATTCTGGTTATTATCCGGAAAACGGTTATCTAGCTGGGACATTTAACTCTTCTAGTGGATTATTCAGAGATATGAATCATCGACCTAGAGCTACGACCATTGGCGTGTTGGATAATCCTAATCGTCGGATTGGAAACTCTTCTCGAGTTGCGGGAGCTTTAGCATCTATCCCTCAATCTCCAGTTCAGGCCAATCTTGGATATTCAACGTTCCAAGCTCCCTATGCCTATGCACATTCTCCATCGGATCGTAATATCAGTCGTTCGAGAGACAGCTCGATGACCAGGGCTCAACGTCCCAGCATCTCCTCTCATACTTCCAGGACCGGCACGCCTGATGTCGACAAGGGATTCTCCACACCTCAAATGCCCACCAGGAGTCTATGGATAGGCAATCTAGATGTCAGCGCTACCAACCAGTCGTTGCTTCAAGTTTTCATGGTCTATGGGGCTATAGAAAGTGTTCGTATGCTTCCTGAAAAAGTCAGTTCTCCTCTCACTCTCATCGTCTTTAAGCTGATGGATAGACATGTGCGTTCGTCAACTTTATGGATAAAGCCGATGCTGTCCGGGCCAGAGATGACGTCCTCAATCGTCTCGGTGGGCATGTGCCCGCTCTCTCAGAGACAGCACCGGTTCGTATCGGTTTTGGAAAGATTGATTCAGCTCCCACCGGAATGCCTAGTAGTTCCGTGGCGCCTCCACCTCCTGGTCTAGTCTTCCCCAATAGTTTGACTTCGGTGACTGTTCCCCCTCCTGTACCTGGCGCTGAAGAGTCTTCACCAGAACAAGGTGACGAGCAAAGCTCTCTTCCAACCCGAGCTTTATGGATCGGAAGTATCCCTGCTACCACGTCTTCCTCGACATTGCTACAGATATTCACTCCATTTGGTCCTGTTGAATCAGCCAGAGTTTTGATGCACAAGGTGATAATTTTTTTCTTGAGGAGATAGTTGTGACTGATTTTCAGTGCTGTGGTTTTGTCAACTTTGAACATCTCGATTCTGCCGTCGCTGCTCGTAGCGCTCTGAACGGTCGTGACATTCTTGGTTCAGACATTGGACCTGTGCGTATCGGCTTTGCCCGAGTTCCCACCCGCTCGCCTGTTATCGGAGGTCCAGAAGGGGAAGAAACTACGCCAAAGCTCGGCAGCTTATCCGGTTTGGAATCTGTCAACGGCGCCGACTCTGTGCCGACTGAACAACAGCTGTCCTCCGAGAACGGCGGGGTGGAGAATTATCGCAGTCCTTTGGTCATCGACCTCGTCAAGAATGGAATTCACGAACAAGTTTTGGAGAAGGGTCTCGCTACCAATGGGGTTGTTTCGGAACAACAAATGATCATGCAGGTTCTGAGTGGAGATGGAGCAGAGGAAGATAGTCATGTCCGTGCTGCGGCTGGTACGTCATTCAGAACAATCGATGGAGTTTGGTTTTACTGATGGATATAGAGCCGAGAGGACCAGCAACCTACTACACTATGATTCCGGGCGTCCACGAAAGATTATCAAGGCGATTTGAGGCTGCCCATTTGAAAGAGCTCCGTCGACGATTGGACGCTGGTGGAATGACACAGGAAGAAATCGATAACGTTTCTCGGGAAATGATGGCCGATGCGGCAGAAGTGAGTATTGCGTTCGTTTGTGAAAAAGCATCAGACTCATGGGTTCAGCTCGCAAGTGATTATATTGGCAATACAATCATTCAAAAGCTCTTCGAACGCACAGACCCTTCACTTCGACTAGGTCTGCTAGAAAGAATCGCTCCTCATCTAGCTACCATAGGTGTGCACAAGAACGGGACCTGGGCAGCGCAGAAGATCATAGAATGCGCTTCCACTCCCGAAGAGAAGATGATCATCTCTCAAAACCTCACACCTTTCGCTCCGCCTCTGATGTGTGATTCCCTCGGCAACTATGTGTGTGCTGGGACGTTGAGGTTCGGGGCACCGTACAATGAATATGTCTTTGACGCTATGATGGATCGTATGTGGGATATCTCACAGAATCGGTTTGGTGCAAGGTGCATGAGGACTTGTTTGGAGAGTCCTCATACGTCTGTCTACCAACGAGTGAGTCCTCATCATGTCTTTGCGGCTCATCGTATTCTTCGGACCATACCAGTTGATGAGTGAAGTATACTGATGTCTAGAAACGCATTTCCACCGGTATCATCCTAAACTCGATTCCTCTAGCTACGAATCCTAATGGCGCTTTGTTGCTTACTTGGCTCGTAGATCAATCCAACTTGTCGGGAAGGTACGGTCTTTTGGCCAATCGTTTCTCCCCTCATATCGCCCATTTATGTACCCACAAACTTGCCTCTTTGACAGTTTTAAGAAGTAAGTCCCCGCTCTTTTCAAAAGATAATTTCCCTAACTCTCAGTAATAACTCAGACCGCTGAACCTGCCGCATCAGCCATTCTAATCTCTTCCATATTCACCTCACCGAACGATCAGACTCTCACGGAAATCCTGAGTGATGCAAATAACGGTTCTCAAGTCATTGGTAAAATACTCGCTACCTCTACAATTCTTCCTGATGAAAAATCCAAAATTTTAGAATCTGTCCGGCGTGTTTTACCCGATATAAAAGCTTCAAACACTCCACCTTATCGAATGTTACTCGAAGCTGTAGGTCTACCACTCCCTGCAGGCGGTATGAACGGTTTCGTCCCTCCTGGTCGATGGCATCAACCTACTCAACCACCATTCGGATATCAAAATTATTGTTATGCTCAACCTCAATATCTCTCTCCGGTAGGAGGAATGAATCTTAATCCTCTACTCGTTCCTCAGAATATGCCAATAGGACAATCTATGAGAACAGGAACTACAAGTCCTCATTCTAGAGATAGTCCAAGAACACCTCAACCTCAAATGAGAAGAGATCCAAATCAAATGACAAGTCCAGGTTCTGATCCTTTTAATCCTTTTGCTTCACCTTCGATCGATGTTCCTTTCATGCCTATCGGTGGAATGAGGGGCATGACCTTTGAACAACAGCCTAATATGGGAGGATTGGGTATGATGGGCGGGAACGCGGGACAATATTATCAACAAGATGTGAGTGTGATACTTTCTACGGTGATGATCCTGTTTGTTCTTTACCACTCTATCTCTTTACTTTTGGCAAACGAACCAGACTAGCGTGATTCACCACCTCTTTTCGTGTCTGTCCTAAGTGCGGGCTTGCGTTATTGGTGATAAGTTTAAAAGGAGTAAAGTCATGAGGAGCAGGGTGAGACCTCCAAAGGCAATGGGGAGGGCAGGAGTGAAAATATTAGAACTGACATGACAGATGCGTCAAAGTATGTACGCTCATGGTTTTCAAGCTTAATCAAGTTTTCTACAAAATAACAAGTAAAAGAAATACACGAAAAATGTTATTTTGACATACACAACATTTTTCAAAGAAATTATGACTCTTGATCGAGTTGCAAGTATAACAAAAAAACATCTTATCCACTCCTACATTCCATTTCCACATCCCACATCCCACATTGACGCCAATGCATTATACGAAAAACAAACTGTACGATACGAGAAGGAACGATTCACACGATAGAAGAAATTTGCCAAATGAGGATGCTTTGCCATGCCTTGCGATGCTTATTGCAAGATACAAAAATGATTGATGTTGTGAAGAACGACGGAGGACGCCTCAGGTAGGTAACGGAAGAAGGTTTGAAAAGAAATGACAAAGATTGCACATTGAATCCAGATGAAGTTTTGCTATTGTGTATGCATCTTGTGCAGTTGATCTCCCACGATTTGTCTGACTTTCTCACTGATACATACCATTCATTGAGTATACGTGCATACTCAACATGACCTGGTGATTTGGTATAAACGATAAATAAGTGATAGGATCAAGTGATCTGGTATGTGTAATGATGAAGAATAAGGATGGAGATGACAACCCATTACTCATCATCCATGTCCATGTCCATATCCATAGGTTCATCTTCCCCTTCTGCATCTTCGTCCGAATCCAATACCATTTCTTTACTTTTAACACCTTTATTCTTCCTTCTTTCCTTTGCAGCAGCTTCTATCCTTTTATCAGCTTCTTCGACCATATCTAAATCATCTTCTTTTCCTTTTTTCTTTTTCCCTTTCCCACCTTTCTTTCTCTTTATACCATAATTTCCATCATCTCCATCTCCATCTCCATCATCATCATCATCGTTATCCGAATCAGCAACTACAAAACCATCATCTTCTTCATATTCACCTTCTAAACCTAATTCTTCTTCATCACTACTCCCACCTCTTTTACTTTTCTTCATAAACCTTCTACCTCTTTCTCCACCAGTAGATTTCTTCCTGACGATTTTCGTCTTTCCATTTGATGTGGAAGCTTTTTGTAATAATTCTTGTACTAAACTTAAATCTTCTAAATCATCTAATATCTTCATACGTGAATGTTTTACATGTTGTTGACCTACATGACCTAAGATTTCCAAATGAGTTTTGGATGTCATGGAAGTCGGAATAAGAGATAATGTTCCTGCTAAGATATTTTGAGTTACTAAAAGTTGATTTGTACCGTCTATCAAAAGGATATAAGTGTTTGTAGATTCTTTTGAACTTGTAGGAAGGGTTGAAGTTGTAGGAGGTATAGGGTCGGAAGGACGAGAGAGGGTATTGTGAGATGGTGAAACATCAAACATTTCTAATCCGATTTGTAATGATACGGAACCGTCTGACCAACGGAGCATTCGTGAGTTTGTTTGACGTGTCTGATGAGATTAGTTTGACACCCTCACCCTCGATTCGTATCCTTCTCATTTGTCTGGTTTATTTGATCTCAAGTGAGACCTTTTATTACGGTCTGAACAGTTGAGTAAGAGTAATTCTACAATGATACACTTTTTGGCCGGTAGGCGTGATTCTCGTTTATACACGCATTCCTTGCTCGACGATCTTCATGGCCTATCTCAGACCAACCCTTGTCCATCAATCCAACATTAACTTCTGCAGCTCAAATGACGAGAAAATCCGAATAAAAGATGAGGTGTGAATGGGAAAAGAGAAGTCTAGAAAAAAACACTCACAGGCTCCCCATCAGCCCCAGTGACCCATCTCCATCTCATAGTATTCCTAACCCCGATCATCCGTCCTTTCGCACCTAACGGATCCGTCTTTCCATCCGTGACCTCAGCAGTGGCTCGAAACAAATCAGGATGATACGGTTTAGAATCATAATTCACATAAGCGGGTAAACGGAGATGCCAAACTTTTCCATCGGTAGGATCTAGTCTTTTCCAAGCTGGAATCTCCGCTTTGGCAGGTTCTTCAGTAACGGGACCGGGTTGATCAAGTTCTTCATATTCTAATGGATGGGGAGTACGAGGAGAGTCGGGGGATGCAGAAGGTGGAGTAGCGGTGGATGGTAAATCTGCATCTTCGTCGCCGAACTGCTAATCAGCTCAAGTATCTTTCAGATGCTAGATGAAATCTGAGAGTTCTATAAGATCAAGTATTAATATTGAAAGGACGATCTGCCTAAAGAAGGGGGAGGATAGAAACGAGAGACGAGGGAGGACTCACAAGATCGTCCAACTGAGCAGCTTCAGTTTTGACATCTTCCTCTTCTTGCTTTGGCGTCATCGACTTGGAGGTCGTAGCTGCCGGTGAAGGAGATGGTGGCTGAGGTGGGACTTCTTCGTCATCCCCGAAAAGATCATCCGCTAGTTCTTGTTCTGCCATGTTGCTATGAGGTTTGAGAAAAGATAAAAGCAAGTATGTCGAAAGTAATAGTGGACAGAGGCGTGGTGTGAATTGATGGGCAGGTGCCACACCCATCGGCACTTCGGGAATATCCCACTCAACCCCATCCTCCCTTCCTTCCGTCCCTTTCCGGCTCTACATTCCTCTCAACCAGATCGATAATGTCGGCTCGTCTAGCATTGAGATCCCTCCGGACAGGTAAGCCTTACTTTTAGAGGTCTCGGTGTACGGGAGCTGAACCATAGGCGTTCGACCGGTCGTTCCTGCTCGTGTCTTGGCGGTTCAACCGTATGTCTCTTTCTTTTTATTGTCTGGAAAGCTGTTGACTCTTTCAGCTCCAGATTTCTATCCACTCGTGAGTACTCGGTGACAGGACTTCACCCCTACCTTCAGGAGTACGATTGGAAAGCAAAGAGATATGAGCAGCATGGATGTCAAAGAGGAAACCGGACGAACGTAGAGTCGACACTATTGGTGGAGAGGAGGCTATGGGGGAGAAGAACAGCAGTGACGGGAAGAGTAAAGAACTGATGGTATAGAACAATCTCCCGACGATAGAGCGGCAGCTATCATCAATTCTGTCCCTTCCACTTCACTCTGGACCAAAACTGGTGGGATCGTATTGGGGACAGCTGTGACTGCTGCGGCAGTGTCCACGGAGATTTATGTGAGTCAGGTTGTCCACATCCTGACCTCTGTATGACGTGTTCTGAGAAGCTCAGAGTGAGACGATGAAAAAGGAGCATGTTGGTGGACTTGTTCAGGGCATCGTCACAATGGCAGAAGGCGGGATAAATAATGGGGAGAGTAGCTGAGCATCGCTGACACTCAGGTCGCCAATGAAGAAACCGTCCTCGCTGTCGGCTTTCTCGTCCTTCTCGCTGCTATCGCCCGTTCCATCGGTTCACCATACACCGCCTGGGCGGAGAACCACATCAATGTGAGTCATTCACCTCTCTACTACTTTTCTCGTTACTCCTAAGTAGACAAGTCGTATCAGACGAAGGGTCATTCAGAATGTGGAGTATATGGGAGCGATAGGACCACTCGCTGACATACAGCGTATCAAGGACGTCCTCGGTTCTGCCCGTGCTGAGCATACAAAAGCGGTGACGGAACGTATCGATTCCGTCAATCTTCTCAAAGACGTCGTCCCCCTCACCGAGCAATTGTATGCCGTCGCAAAGGAGACCAATGCCCTCGAGCATGAAAACTTTCTCCTTCAACAGGAGCAAGCGGTCAAGGCCGAATTGAAATCGGTCCTTGACAGTTGGGTGAGGTACGAGCAGCAACAGCGTGAGGCTGAGCAGGCGGCTTTGGTCAAAACTGTGACGGAGAACGTGCAGTCCGAGTTGGCCAAGCCTGCTTTCAAAAAACAATTGCTAGAGGAGGCTTTGGTGCAGGTTGAGCGTGAGTGTGTTTGAAAAATGATATGGTCATTGCTGATTCGGGTAGAGATTTCGCGGTCGAAACAGATCTAAAGGACCTGTAGTTGGGTGGATGGTGCTTGAGATCGCGATGCGGCGAGCAGAGGTCAGCACTTGCATGAGGAGGTCATAAGAGGGGAGTGTGGACGATAGGCGATACTAGAGCCTTTCCAGGCGTACAAAATGCAACAAAATGGTTCGAGGTTGCTTCCGCTTTACAAATGTTATGATACCGCATGATCTGTGAAACACGTGAAGAGATGTCATCGAGATCTATGACGTCAGTTTCGAAGGATGCTTCAGACTGGGACTTATATGTACATAAACTCTTCTGCTCTCTTGTCAGCCACATCAATCTCACGTCGACAATTCATATTCCAAGCAAATAGTTAGCACAACAAAGCCATAATGTCATATACCAACCAACCTGTCACTGGAACCGGTGCCAACGCTGGTGGTCAAGCGGGGGCCAGTAAGTCCATTTTTCTCCTGATGTTAAGCTGTGACTTACGATCAGGTCTCGCGGAGAAGATCAAAGGGGCTGCAAATGGTGAGTACAACTTATCTCGCGGCGAACTGTTCTCTTCCCTCTCGTTGTACCCTGTCATCTCAAGATTCGTGACCTCGCTAACACTCAGTCGCTCATGGTGCGCTCACCGTCTTCTTCCTTCGCCACCCTCTACGTCCTCAATCCCTCCTGCCATGACCAGTCTCCACCCTCATTTTCCCCACACCATTCCGATCTGTAACACAATAGGCTCCTCACTACCAATCGTTCACTTACAAGTAGTTGGCAGCCAGGACAAGTGACAGGATCATGACTGACAACAGGCGCGGGAGAAGGAATAAGAGGTAATATAAACGCCTTTGTCGATAATCTCGGAGAAGGTATCGCCGGTAGAGACCATCCTACCGGTACAACCGCCACCCATACCAACACTTCTACCGCTGGATCTGGTGCTGGGGTAGGGACAGGAATCGGAGCGAAACATCACGTTCACGCGCCTGTTATTGGGAAAGAAACGGGTGAGACGACAGCCGCTAGAGGGGAGAACGAGATGAGTCTTGGAGTTGAACGTCTTACTAGGTGATAGGTTTTTTCCCGTCATATGATGTATGTCACTAGTCATTCGCGATGTTTCCAACGTATTAGTATGAGAGCTCCCTTATATACCTCTGCTTGAGCCCGCTCCTATACCTGGTATAGCATGCAGGCTGCGGACGGGGTTGTGGATGTAGGGACGAAGAGACCGCTTAGTCGAATTGCCGGGCTCTCCTTCCCCCCACTTCGAATCACCTAAATGATCTTGGGATTATATTGTCATTCATCTCGAGTCCTTCTTCAACATCTGCTTAACTTTGGTGGATCAGAGAGTCAAAGCAAAATGTCGGTCATCACTCCCTTCAAGAAAGCAGCTATCATCGGGGCTGGTCAAATGGGTTTAGGCATAGCGTCAGTCCTCTCCCCCTTTTACCCCTGGAGTAAATCCCCTCTCCTTCTTGCCCTCCCCTTTCTGACTAGGCTTGCATCTTCAAGCGCCATATCTACGTCAGCCTCTCAGCTCTCTTATTGAAATTAGGCTATGGCAAGGATCGGATCCGAGAAGGAAAGTTGTCCACTGACACACAGCTACGTAACAGCCCTCCACGCTCAAGTACCTCTATCACTACACGACCCCTCCCCATCCGTCTTATCTTCGGCACATACCAAACTATCATCTCTCCTCAATCGAGACGTTTCCAAAGGTCGTATTACCCAATCTGTAGCGGACGAAGCTTTATCTCGTGTCACACCAAAATCAGGACAAGTGGAAATTGAAGGAGATACCGATTTGGTCATAGAAGCAATACCGGAAATACCAGATTTGAAAATCTCTTTGTTCGAATTGTTGGGGAGGACATTACCTCCTGAAAGTGTCCTGGGGAGTAATACGAGTTCTATTAGCTTGACGAAACTGGCTGCTGCTGCTGGTAGGAAAGATGAGACAAGTGCGAATAGGGTGATTGGGTGAGTTGTCCATTCGCATCGCTCTTTCTGCCTTAGCTTCGACACCTGGAAATCATCCGGTTTGGGGGGAAATCGCTCAACATTTATTGGCCAGCTGGTTGGGACGCCTTGTTGGCTATGAATCTCTAGGAGGTGGTGGAAACCAGTGGATAGGAGAAGTTTGCTCGGGCATTACACTGATTGCAGAATACATTTCTTCAACCCCGTTCCTCAGATGTGAGCCACCTTTCCCTCTCTCTGTCCCACCGTTACTCTCAAAACAATGAGATCCTCTTCTGTTTTGATGGATGCTTGGAACTGAGATAAAGGCGTTTAGTAGAGATCATACCCGCCCTTCAGACCAGCCAAGAGACCATACACCGAGCGAAAGAATATGGTAAATCATGTAAGAAAGGTACGCCCAAACCCCACCCCTTCCAATCGTGCTAATGGACAGAGGTGACAATGTCGACCGACTCTCCAGGATTCATAGCTAATGCTATCCTCATGCCTATGTTGAATGAGGCTATATTAGTTTTGGAGAAGGTACGTTCTGTATCCTATCCATCCGTTCGTCACACCACTCTATATCAACTTGGAAAGACAGCCATCCTTCATGCACACTTAAGCTGTTCTCTTTGAGAGACGATGGAGATCTGAATGGCTGATTTCACGAGGGAATAGCTACAGCAGAAGATATCGATACAACATTTAAACTCGGTATGGGTCATCCCATGGGACCTCTAGCCCTTGCCGACTTGATCGGTCTCGATACTTGTCTATCTATCCAACGTGTCTTACATACCGAGTCGGGCGATAGCAAATATCGTCCTTCTGGTCTGTTAGTCCGAATGGTTGATGCTGGGTGGTATGGTAAAAAATCCGGTAAAGGTTTCTACGAATATCCCTCTACTTCTTGATGGATCATCTCTGCTCAGATCAATGATTACATGAATGTCATGTTATTACGTGGCCTTCTTTCTCCATCACATGTCGTACTTGGACAAAGGAGGATAGGTGATTGATCCTTTATCATGTGTCATAAACTCCGCTTGTTGTTTTACATATAGTGTACATGACATGATCCAATATGATTTCTCTCATCAATCTCCTTACTTATCCTGTGATATCAAAAGTGTACATTCATCAACAATCTTGACATGTCAGCTGAAGAATCTCAATATTGGGATCAGGACCAATCCGAATACGACGATGGCGATTATGAAGAAATAGAAGTTGAGAGGTATGATGAAGATTTAACTCAACCACTTCAAGATATGTCTTTGGTCCCTTTTCGACGATCTAACACAGGACCGGGAACGATATCTTCTTCTTTAACAAACTCACAACTTTCCAGAACATCTACATTCAATAATTCAAAAGCTACAAACACTAGTAAAAGTGGTGTTCGTAAACCTGGTTCAAAAACATCTAAACAATCAAACTCCAACAAATTTCCTTCAAGAGCATTAACAAAACCAAAAGATCCACTTAGTTTTATAGATGATTTACCTTTTCTTCCTGATCCAAGACATAAAGTATATCTTCGTCAAAGACTCCAAACACTTTGTTCTCTTGTACATCTTTATCCTGCACAAGATTCGATGAGAGGTTCAGCATATACAACTATCATCCCACGTCCTTCTAAATCAATGAAATATCAAACTAAAATCAATGATACTGATGTACCTCCAAATGACACAGTGGAACCTCTTTCTAGATCTGATTCCAGATCTTTCAGAAGAACAAATTCGACAATGTCGTTAACATCAAGTCCATCGAGATCAAGAAGATCAAATTATAGTATAACGAATGAAGATAAATTATCTTTAGATCATTTGGCAGCTTGTATTTATTCTTGGGCTTCTCAAAGTCTTGTAAGTAAGCCTGAATGGATAGAATTGAAATTTTGGGTGAATAATACAGTGGACGTTATCAAAAGTCAATTGATGGGATTATCAACGGCTATAGACACAGCTATTGATCATCTACAATCTCAAAGAAAGTGTGAGATGAACAGGATAAGAAATCAGAGTTTTGATGAGAGTGGGGAAGGATCTATGAGATATATAATGGATAAACAAAGTTCGAATAAAAGAATAGAAGAAAAAGAAGAAGAATGGAAGATTATTTCTTATGCTTCTTGGAGATCGATAGACGAAACGGGTACAGAAAATCAGGCTATTTGGGAAATTAGCTTAAAAGAGATTGGGAATCCTTTTGCTTCTTCTACAGAAGTGAACAAACCATTAGGACAACAAAGGTTGGTTGATCAAGGTGAATTGCAGTATCTACCAAGGCCAGAGGAGAGGGCGATGCCTTGGGAAGATCAGAGTGATTTTTGGGAGAGATGATAGAAACTGGTGGACATCAGTATCACACGGGAATAACATTAGTATTACAAGTCTGATATTCAAAAGTACATTATCTCTTCAACTCGTCAGACGGGTGAATGGTACAATGAAGTAGAGTACCAAACTTGAGATGATGAAGGACGGGATGATCAGTAAAACGTTACACAATACGATATATGACCAAGAGTTGAAGTGAGGATGGTTGATGGGTAGTCGTGATGGAAAGAACGATGTGCATATTACCAATGTCATATCATGTGGTTTGTTCAAGTTGAGTCGTCCAATTATATGGTTGAAACCAAGTTCCTAATTCTTTCGCACGTTGTTTGTTCAATACGAAATCGATTTTCCGTGGATTACGCCATTTACGAGGTTCCAACTCTAGTAAATTTCCTATGATCTCACTTGCGAAATAACTATTAAATCAGTTTTTTGTCACAACTATATTCCGTTCCAGTATCATTCATCCACCGACACGTCCTCTTCGTTCATACTTGGTACCATCTTATCATACAGAACTTTTTTCCAAAGAGAAACACAAAATGAGGAAAGAAGTGCAAGTGGGTATGTGGGTATGTGAGGGATGATCAAGATGAGACTCTGAAAGATAGTCAAGACTGGCCAAAAATGAAAAAGTCAGGACTGAGGAGGATGAGAAGCAGAGATAGAGGACCAAAAACGAAACAAAAATCAACAAACTCACGGTGGAAAACTAGTACCACCTCTATCCCCTTCATTAGCAGGTATACCATCTTCGACACCTCCTTCCTCCGTACCTTCAATAACATGTCCATAACCTTTTTCACCTTTGTAATCCCAATGTACCATGAAGTACGGTATGTTGGATACCAAACAACGTCTGAAACCTCCTGGACGAGAAGAGAAATCGATGAGTTTTTTATGTTGAGACCATTCGGATTCAGAAGCGAGTATACTTTCCTTTGGTTGTTAGCACCTTCCCTGCGTACGAACATTACATTCATATCGATTGACACGAGCTTCATCGTCTCACATGCCCAAATGCTAAGCAGGTTCAGATATGTGGAGTTTGACAGGAGGAAGGAAGGACCAGAAAGAAGTGATAGATCGCACAGCGAGACACACAGACGATAAAGATGGGTGATGGAGAAGGGGTGCAAATCGTGGAACAACACAGTGAATATTGCATAAAGAGAAGATAATCAAACTTACTCGGAAATAAGCAGGAGCATCTTGGAATTGATCATAGGGTAATGGTACAGCTTCTATAAACGTATGTCTCTGTTGTCGAAAACTTAATATCGTTTCGTAGAACAATACACCTTTATTTTCTTTTGCGTGCATACGCATCAGACATTTCATAAAGTTCTTCTTGTCAGCCAATACACTATGTACACAAACTCTTTTCGAGGGGCAAAACTATGGCTGCAGAGAAAGTGATTGCTCCGAGCCAATTTACGTGTCGATACCTCTTACTCGGAATGAGAGAACCAGATTGATGGTACATGGTGCGGCTCAGATAACTGGGAAAGGGGTATAAGAAGGACGTCACATGGGACACGAAGATGAAGAGAAAAGGACAACTCGACTCACTCGTACTTCCTCCCATTCATCATCATCCATTTCCAAACTACTAAGATGATGTTGTAGAGGTACTATCAAACAATGTCCTTCCACTAACTCTTCAGTCATCGTGCAACATAAATACGTTCTTGTTCCAAGTGCGACGACAGCTGTTAATGGTTGACGATCTTCTTGATAACAAAATGGACATTCGTCCAAGGCTTTTTTAGTACGGGCGTAATCTATTGTTCAGCTCGACACTCACCTACTTGTTTTTTCCCGTTGTCGCCACGTTATCTGTAGCACGTCTACCTCATGTTTGGACTGGAATAACAAAGCATGCGACATGCTTGTTGTTTGTACAAAGGGGAATGTGACCATTGAACCCACCGTTTATAGCAAACTGTCGTTTCATAGCATCAGACTTCATCTTTCTTCTCGCTAACCTGTCCGCATTGTCGTCCATATAATCCAAATCATTCTCAAACTTGGCATCTCGCGCAATGTTCATAGCCATCTGAGCGTCAAACTCTTTTTGTTCCCTTGAACCTGCACCAAACTTTTCTTGTCGGACTAATTCTCCAAGAGAAAGTTCATCATCGTCCGCGTTGTACCTTAACAGATTACCTTCTTTATCTCTGGTTTCGAACTGAAACATCAGCGTTATAATCATGGTACTCCTTCCATGCAAAACTGAGGGATGAAGGGACACGGAGATACAGTGTATCTACAAAAAACGCTGGACTCACTCTTTCCGGCTTCTTTCGCCTATTACCAGGTCGAACATTTTCGTCATCTTCCTTGCCCATACCAACATCATACAACCTTCCTCGACCATCCAGGGTAGGTAACACCTGAACTTCCGTCCTCGTCCCATTCTCATCCACCCGACCCATCTGTCCCTGAATTCCATTACTCGATCCAGTCCACATTCCCTCCCCACCTTGATCGCCACCACCTCTCTCGAACCGTCTCCGCTCCTTATCATACTCTTCTTCTAGCTCTACAGCTTTAGGATCGTCAGACAATTTGGCCCGAAGAACCTTTGCTTGTAGACGATTCAATTGCTCGATGGATAAAGGAGGTTCAGATGACGTTGGATCTTTGGTATCTGGGAAGGGGAAATTAGTTTTGGGGTCTGTCAAATTTTGAGGAGTGAAAACGCTCGGAATGGGAGTGGTCACTTTGGCAGGAGTGAATGTACTTTCTGTACGTCTTATAGCATCCACCCGTCCGACTCCTCCTGGAGTTTTGAATTCTTGTCCAGCTTCTCCCGGACGTCTGAACCCAGCTCTCGAACTTGGTCGAGACCCGAAAGTATCTTCAGAAGTGAACATGAATCGTCTACCACCTGCATCAGGTGTACGAACACCTGTTGTACTTGGAGTTCCGAATCCTTCACTACCTCCTCCCCGACGAGACTGACGTCGTTGTTCACGTTCATCGATGATTCTTCGTTCTTCCACGGCTTCATGGAATTCGTCCAATGAGCCATATCGTTCCATCGCGACATCTTCCACATCCCGGCTTCTAGAACTATCAGCTACAGTCCAACCTATCACATGGAGATGGACGTACTGCTCTGTTGCTTGCTCATATAATTTCTTCAGCTTCATCATCCTCCATTGATATCCTGGTCCTCCGGGCTGAACCTTCTTCGGACCCTTCTCTTCATACTCGTCTACATTCTTACCCTCTTTAAGCTGAGTGTTGAGTTCGTATCTCTCTGCTCTGGTACGGCTCGCCTCGGCTTCAGCCTCTTTTGGATTCTTTCGTTCATGAACTTTGCCTAGATCAGAGAAGAAGTCGACGTCATTGGAAAATGTCCGGTCGTTACTAGTCTCTTCTCCGTATCCATCTGTTAACCCATTAGATGCGCTATGAGGGGTATCTCGAGCTATTCCCGTGTCGGGTATTGGAGGAGCTGTGTTAGTGGGCTCGAGCATCCAACTTTCCCTCTCGGAAGAACTAGCGACCACAGGATGTAGGGGATCTTTCGTACTGGCTTGATGAGATGTCAGGAGCAAAGATTCGGCAGTGGGTATATTTGAGATAGCCTCCTTTACCATTAGCTCAGGTTCGCAGGGTGGAATATGAGATTGAGACACTCACAGTCCCATCGATACTCTTCTCCACCCACATGCCTGCGTCATAATCATCCTCTACCACCTGGAGTCGGTCTTCTTCCCTATCTTCAGCTCCCTTCTTTCTTCTCTTCCGTTCCGCTCGCTCTTCTTCCGTCTCATGGCGATGTTTCTTGCCACGATGTCGCTCTTTGGCTCCCCTGTCGTGATCCTCCTCAGACAGGTGACTGTGATCCCGGTGCTTGTGATGTTTTCGATGATCACTGTGATCATTGTGAGATCTCTTGCGCTGATCATCCTTGGCTAGACGGTCCTTCTCTCGTCTGTCTCGCTGTTCTGATGTTGTTCTCCTGTGCTCCCCCATAGTCTTGGATATGTATTGAATGTGAGTCGGCTGTGATAGAGCTGGTGGACCGAGTCAACTTACTCGTATAGGTCTACCGGTGATGTAAATGGTCCCCCCGGATAAAGAAGGACCCTCGCTCACTCGTCTCCACTCACACCCGGCCCTGATCAAAAACCCTCCCATCTTTGCCTTTGGAAACTTGTGCGACGCTCCTATACACTATCACATTCCTTCCCTTCTCATACACTCATTCATCATGGAGCGTAACTTGGAACATAGAAAGAACAACTTCAAAGGCAAGACCAACTTTGCGGCTGACCAGGTAAGTTTTCTTACTATCCCTTCCCACAGTTCTCTCACGCGACTGCACGGGCTTTTCTTTGGCCACTCAACTTTTCATCCCCTCTCGTCGTCGGTCTATACATCCTTTATGCACCTATATGACATATGCTGATGTGTCCAGCTGCGTAGACGTCGTGAAGAGCAGCAAGTCGAGATCAGGAGGCAGAAGGTGAGCATGATTATTCCGGACTCCGGACTTTCAGGCAAAACTTACTGGTCAGCGTGAAGAGAATATCGCCAAGAGGCGTAACTTTCATCCAGTCTTGGAGGATGATCTCGACTCGGATGAAGATGTCGAGCTTGGTTCTGCTGCCCTGGGCGAGACGCTGCCCCAGATGTTGGCAGCTGTCTTGAGTCAGGATCCTAATGCGCAATTGGAAGCGACCATGAAATTTCGCAAGTGCGTGTTCTTGCAAATTTTCCAAGGTTGTGCTGACGAGGTCAGACTGCTGTCCAAGGAGAAAAGTCCACCCATCGATCGAGTCATCGAGTGCGGAGTTGTTCCTCGCTTTGTGGAGTTTTTGCAGAGCAACAATGCCATGATACAGGTATGTTTATCTCATCGTCACATCGACGCCCTTGCTGATGGTCACAGTTTGAAGCGGCTTGGGCTTTGACCAGTCAGTATTGATCCGTTTCTGTAACTGACGAGTGACTAATCCCTTAGACATTGCTTCTGGCACTTCTCAACACACTCATACTGTCATCGAAGCTGGTGCTGTCCCACACTTCATCAAACTCCTCTCGTCCCCTGTCATCGACGTCCGGGAACAAGCGTGAGTTCTCTTTACGTTTCTTACTGACAGGGGATGAACTGACATTCAGGGTTTGGGCTTTGGGAAACATTGCCGGTGACTCGCCCAAATGTCGGGATTACGTCCTTGAAACTGGCGCTCTCGAACCCCTTCTCATGCTCCTCAATGAAGATCATAAACTGTCAATGTTAAGGAATGCTACTTGGACTCTGAGCAATTTCTGCCGTGGAAAAAATCCTCAACCCAAATGGAAAAAGGTGAGTTCTTTCTTGCACACGCCCTGTATCTCAGGCTGACCAAGTTAGATCGCTCCGGCTCTTTCTGTCCTTACAAAACTCATCTATTCCCTTGATGACGAAGTCTTGATCGATGCTTGTTGGGCCATCTCTTATCTTTCCGACGGTACCAATGACAAGATCCAAGCTGTCATCGAAAGTGGTGTGTGCCGTCGATTGGTCGATCTCCTCATGCACCCGTCCACCGCGGTTCAAACTCCAGCTCTACGATCTGTGGGTAATATCGTCACCGGTGATGACCTGCAAACCCAAGTGGTCATCTCTTCTGGTGCCTTGTCAGCTCTCCTGAGCTTGCTATCATCTCCCAAGGATGGTATTCGCAAGGAAGCATGCTGGACTATTTCCAACATCACCGCAGGTTCTCCGCTGCAGATTCAGGCTGTCATTGACGCGTAAGTCTCACATCAGCCTGATATTGCATGAGCATAGCTGATGGACCAGAAACATCATTCCCCCTCTCATCAACATCCTCCAGAACGCCGATTTCAAAACTCGTAAAGAAGCATGTTGGGCCATCTCGAATGCGACTTCCGGTGGACTTCAAGAACCAAATCAAATTCGATATCTCGTCAGTCAAGGTTGTATCAAACCCATGTGCGACCTTCTTGGAACGATGGACAACAAGATTATCCAGGTCGCGCTTGACGGATTGGAGAATATTCTCAAAGTTGGAGAGATCGATAAAGAAGCGGCGGGTCCAGGTGGTGTCAACAAATATGCTCAGTACATCGAGGAGGCGGGCGGTATGGTCGCCATTCATAATCTTCAACATCACGAGAATTTGGAGATTTACAAGAAATGTTTCTACATCATGGACAGTGAGTCATGTCCATTTTCTTCCTGTACATACATGAGAGGGTGTATGATCGGTCCTGAGAATACATCGGCTGACGTGCTAGAATTCTTCCCAGACGATGAAGAAGAAGAGGCAGGTGCTGCTCCCGCTGTGGACGCCAGCGGACAATACGCCTTCCAAAGTGACGTTGCCGTTCCTCATGGAGGTTTCAACTTTACCTCGTGACAATGAATGCCCGACCTTTCACATTGACCATGTCCATCAATGACATGCGCTGTACTTCCTACTCCGTACCGAATCCTTTACCCGATAAACAATCTGTACATCCCAATCGCTCTTTCCAACCCATAAGCATCGACCGTCGCGTATAGTGACCCGGCCCTTCCTTCACCATCCCCGATATTTGACTTCCACTGTATGACTTCCTCACCTGTCTCTCAATTACACAAATTCATCTTCCCATCGTGGTCCCTTTGAACATGTCCCTCACTAGCAACAATCAGCATCGACGTAGGCAATAGCCGCGTCGTCCCACACTTCACCCGGTACGATCTGGAAAAGTCGAGTTTGTCTTGATAACGACCGTCTGCGCATGTAGATGGAACATATGCAACATATATCGAGAAATGAATACATGACGTGTGTTGGTATGCAATGCGTCCATAATACTTGCCATTTACTTATGTACTCTTACAATTTCATTCCTAATGCGGGATGCCCGACTGGAGTAACATGAATGAACTAACGGCATGCCTATTTCACTAGTCGGAATTCTCAGGGTGTGAGTGGCAGTGAGACGTCATTTGACGCACGCCCCGCGCCCCATGGTACCAACCATGGTTTTACCCCCACAAGAGCCGATCTTGACTTGTTCAACCTCGCACAACTTGTTCAGGTCATCTCTTTCCATACCATCTCCAATGTACTCGCAGTAGATACAGAATCCATGCATCGTCCACTGATCACAGAGCATCAAAGGGACTCGCTGCCAAGCAGAAAGGTTTGAACACGTTTCTTTCTCCAGTTTTCCAGATTGCACTGGTGAGGTGGGTGGTGCCTGATTAATTGACTTTTTGATCCAAATCCCTCCGATCCCTGCTTGCTCATACTACTAGAATACACTCCTATCTCCTCCTGATACTTCATCCTCTGACCACTCCTTCCCTCTCTGTACATATATCATTCCCTCTCTCCTCTTTCATCCTCTCCTTCTTTTCCCCCTCCATCATTCATTATCGTACTGTGCAATCCCCATCTGCGGAAAGACCACCCCGACCCGCGTAGACTTCCCCATTCATCACTAACCAAAAATCGATATTCCCCATCGGACGGTCTGATACCCCCCAACGTACCAACGTGTTCATCGAGCGGCGTGGCGTTCACATTCTCGGGTCACGAGCAGTGTGAATGGGTGTACATCGATCTCTCGGTCCATCGCTTTGGCTCTTCATCGGTCCATCGGTTCATCGGGTTGAGACTTGGTTGAATAGTAAAAAAACAAAGTGAGTTTGAAATTTTTGTTGTCAATTGTTTTTTGTGTTTCTTACTCTTCCAATTTAACACTTTCTTCGACATCTCTCCAATATGTTCTATCAGTAACATTCTCTTACCGTCCATTCTTGATAGTGAATCCACTTGTTCCAACCAATGATTTTGATGATCGATGATCTTCAAAGGGAGTCATTGAACGTCGATCATCTATCCATCCTTTCACTTTGATCCGTGTATACCTGGGAGTTTTGGACAAGAAATAGGTCAAAGGAAATAGAAGAAAGAGAAATTCATTCCTTGAAGAGAAAGAAACGAAAATGACTAATTCACCACCAGCAAGAATATCTTCTCCCACTTTATTCCCACCGACCATCACTAATTTCAAAGGGAAAGACATTACGTTTTATCCTACTCCTCCACCTTCGCCGAATTTGGATCAGATCGATTTAAGTCAAGTGGTTGTCGAAAAAGGTAAAAAAACGGTCAGTAGCGGTGAAGTTGAAATTACGATTGAAACGATCGATAGCGGGATTTTTAAGAAAGATTGGACGTCATCGTCGATTCCGGTAAATAACACAAGTACTACTACTGTTCCTATACAATTCAAACCGGATGAACACAACGACTTTGTCAATTCAAGTATTTCAAGTGAAGGAAATAACTCTATTGGAATAAATGGACCAGATGAATCTGTTAGATTAGACGGAAAGAACAACGTCATTGTGAATCTTCCCATTACCGACCATACATCTAGCGCAACTGGACCCGACCCACTTGGTGGAGACAACTACGATACATCAAGTCTAAGGTCGCGTGACGAAATAGGAAAACAAACTTTCTATTCCGCTTCTTTAGGTCAAGATTCCGGTATCCCCAACTTGAAAATCATCCCCAAAGAAAACCTCTCCGCGTCAAAACACACAGACACCAAGCCGGAGTCGGTAAATTCCAAAGTGGATGTTGAAGATCATACCAATCCTTCTGACCACAGCAACGACGTTTCCACCATTGACCATTGGTCTATGTCAAATCCTGGTCTTTCGAACTTTTCTTCACCAGCTTCCGTACCCACATCTACACTAGTCACCCCACAAACCCCAAGTCAAGGTGCTTTTGACGACTTCTTTACTGGTCTTTCTTACATCTCTTCCACCGATCTCACAGAAGAAGAATCAACATCGAAGTCTATCCCTATCTTTTCTATCGAGTCAGAGACAACACCCACTTCCACGCTTAACACCAGTGTCTCACGTCAACACCGTTTGGGGACAAGTCAATCGATTACCAATCTACGTTTGACAGCGCCCACTTCGTTGCTAGGAGTCTTGGGTGGTAATCGAGTCTTATCGTTTAATCCTCATTCATTACTTGCTCTCATGCCTACCACAGCCGCTGCCATTGCTTTGCCTAGGGATACGGATGAAGATCAAGTTGAGGATTTACTTGGGGGACGAGAGAGTGTTCCGACTGTGATACCTCTTTTGGGACGTTCTAGTAGTAAAGGGAAATTGAAGATTAACGGATGGTCAGAAAGGTGTGTCATTCTCTAACCATTCTCATCTTCTTTCTTGCCCGATTTGTCTAAAGTTTCACATAATGACTACCGTCATTACGTACCCGTGATGCGTGACTCCATAGCTCTGGATCTGAAAGCTGACTTCAAAAAGCTCAATTTTCGTCCATCCCCCCACACCCGAGAGAATCCAAAGTCCAGCGACAGAAAGTGAAGACAAGATGCTTCCCACTTCTGACAAGTCCACCGGTTCATCTCGATTATTCGCTAGATCGTCACCCCTCCCTCATCAACAGGTTTTACCTGAAGTTCGATCCCCTCCACGGAGCGCCCTTTCCATGGCGACAGACTCGATACAGTTGTCTCAACGCCGAGGTCGTCGACCACGTTTGTTCGGTTTCACTGAATTACCAGAGACGTCTGGTAGTTCCGGCAATAGTTCTCGTGCCAACTCACGAAACAACTCTAGAGATAACTCACCAGAAACTAGCTCGTCCACTTTAGTCCAACCGTCCCCTAAACCCCAAACGACCGCCACCTCATCCCCTATCAAAGTAGTCAAACCTTCGCCAGTCTCTAATAGCGTGATTTCATCCTCAGCTCCTGTTTATTCATCCAATCCCACTTCCCCTCCTCAAAGAGGTCGACGAGGGTACGTCTCACCTCCATCCACTTCGAACCCCTTACCTGCCTCGAAATCCGAGTTCATGGTAAGAGGACCAAGTCAAGGTGCCCTTCCTCGCCGACCCACCGTTCGCGTTCGATCCGAAGCTGCACTCAAGACTCTTCAACAACAACCTCAACTACCCCGTCGACGTGAGAACGGTCTCAAACTTGATTTCACCGGAATAATCAAAATACCCCCTCCTGAAGATCTTGAATCAGCTGTCATTTCCTCCCCCTTTTCCGCCAAGCTAATCCGTAAGAAATCAGGAGAGATACTCAAACCCGCCATCAAATATTCCGGTCCTCTCACTATCAACGGTACCCCTTTACCTGAAGACGAACCGAGGGAAAGGGAAAGACCGAGATTCGAATCGAAATCTTGTCCCAACACCCCTTCTTGTCCAAAATACGTTCACTTTGACAGTCATCTCGAACGAGTCAAGGTTTTCCGAGGAGATCAGAAACCTCAAGTTGTCAGTCGGAATGGTTCACCCACCGAACATCCCACCAGTGGAGAAGAAAGCGAGTTCCCTTTCCCTTCTACGGATGAAGATGAAAGGGATAAAAGAGTTCTTCAAATACGTCTTCCTAATTTCCCATCTACACCTGCTCCCGACGCCGATTTCTACCTCGAATCTTTATTCCTAGATGATGATCGGAAATCTCTCAAGGGAGTGGTCATGTGTCGAAACTTTTCGTTCCAGAAATGGGTAGCGGTGAGATTCACATTTGATTTCTGGCAAACCACTTCGGAGGTGACAGCAAGTCATAAAGATTCCGTACGAGGAGGAACCTACGACAGATTCTGCTTTGTCATTAAATTACATGATTTATTGGCCAAGATTGAAGAGAAATCCTTGTATATAGCGTTACGATATACCACCGATGGTCGAGAATTATGGGATTCAAATGGAGGACAAAATTATCAAGTGGTATTTGAGAAAAACCTACCTGTCAAAAGTAAGAAACTCACACCTGCTAGAGGAAGCGGTAGTATTCAACCAGGTATGGGGAAAGCAGTAGGAGGTAGAACATCTCAATGGACAGTAGCTGGTGGACAAGATGATAGAATGGCAGATTTAAGAGCTAAATTGGAAAGAATGTCAGCCGATGATCCTGATTCTCCACCTCAATCTTCAACCGGAGCTGTTTCACGTATATTTTCACCTACGAAACGTCTCAATCCACTTTCACCAGAAATGAATAAGATCGGTATGGGTTCACCAAGATTCAATTTTTCATCTTTAGAACCTAATCAACCTGGTTCACCAAGTAATCCAATGGGAGAATTACCTACCACCGGACAAACTTTAGCGGCGAGATACGATTTTAATTCAGCTTTTAAATTTCAAACTAGAAGAAATTCAAATTCACCTTCACCAAGACCGGATCAATTACCAGATGTAAGAACGGGTTTAATAACTTTTGGAAAATCTCCAAATAAAAGAACATCAAGTCCTCCTATTTTATCCGAATCTGAATCAAAAGGTAGAATCCCAGATGGTTTACCAAATATTTCTAGTGGTGATACGTTTTTCTCACCGAGAAATATGTCCAGTCCTCTCTTTGATACAGATGAATTTATAAGTCCAAAACAAATGACGATCAAACAACTTGAGAATCAAGATGATCTCGGAATAATACAAAGATCAAAAGAGGAGAAAGTGCAAGATGAATCGAATCATGTCGAGGAGAATGTTTTGGATGAAGAAGATGATGAAACGGATGAAATGAATGATTCTCCTCCTGCTTTAGAACCTAGTGGTAGTGTGACGGATACACCTAGCGAAAGTCCGAAATCACCAGCGGAACCGATCATGTCACGTTGGAGTCCAACTGCTAGGATTAGGTTTGATAAAGGTGAAGCTGGGTTAGATAAGACATATACGGATTTGGTTGAACAGTGAGTTTTTATTTTGATCTTTGACCTTTGATCCAACTTCTCCCTCCTTCTCCTCTTCCTCTTCTCTTCCACTTCCTCTTCTCTCTGTCTTTTAGTGATAAGAAGTTACATTTGATCCTCCATCTTCTGACTCGTCGCAAACAAACAGCTGATGAAATAGATACTGTTGGGGAGGATCAGCAATCACAATGGAACCACGTCGTTCACATTCAGCTTCAGATCTAGAATCATATTTCTCCAACCCACCTTCTCCCACCAAACCTCCAAACAATCACATAGGAGATGGAACCACAACACCTAAAGGAAAACGTCCAGGATTATACCATTCACATTCATGTTCCCACGATGGGATTTCCTCCACTTCTCAATCCCCATCATGGATTTCCACCAGGTCCAATGGGAAGGTTCCTGATGCCAAAGCTTTAGAAGGATTGTTATCGAGTATGACGGATTTGAGAGATAGAAGGGGTAAGGCGACCGTGAGATCTTTAGGATCTGAGGGTATGTTAGATGATGGAGTGAAAGAACCGGATATGGGGGTTTTGATGAGTATGAACAGGAGGAGTGTACAAGCTGCTTAAGATATATTCTTTTTAATGATTTCTTTTGTATATCACCAGGAGTGGAAGACAGAAAGAGGAAGAGGAATAGGTATGGTCAATGTTGTATACTTGAATGCTTTGGATGCTTGAAGATGTTTCTTGCAGTTGTAGGGAATCTGCATTGTTATAGTGTCATGAATGCATGTTTTGTCTTGGTTCCTCTTGTGACCATGTTGTGCTAGAGGTAATTGCTTCATCACACTCAAATGCATCATTGGGTGAATAGTACATAGAATACTACTCAACACCAGAAGAGTGACCTCTCTTGAGAATGTTCAGCGTACGCATACTGGTAGGCTACTACATAATAGTGTGATCGAGTTCCTGGTTATTCTATGTTCCTCATTCTCCGGTCATACTGCTCACATCCCCACCTCTGCCATTCAAACTACTCGTACTAATCAAAGACAGTCAAGTGTACTCGCACTCATGTACTTACAGCATACACTCACTATGTCCTACGACCTAGGACCAGAGAGAAGCACCTGGCACATCACTTGGCCACGTTGCCACACTGCGCTCGGGCCCATTTGACCATGACCTGGATTCAAGACGGTCCGTGCTTATCGAAACATCAGCCATCACATTTCACTTTTCTGATCGTGTCCTTTTCTTCTTCATTTCATCGTTAAAGTACTCTTCTACCCCACCTCTCTCTCCCCTTCAATCACTCAGTGACCTGTCTGTTACTGTTATACCTTAGAACGTAATCGAATCATTGGGTATTTCACTCATAGCTTTTAAGATCAACCAAGCAGCATAACCATAACCATCCTTGAAACAAAGTGAAGTGATCAAATAACCTACCCAGATATCATCAGGACCATCCTTACGATAAATTCAACCGAGGGAAGATGGCTGAGCATCTCATCGAAGGAAAACGAGATAGAGAAGAATCAGTAGAGGAAGAAGACCAATTTAGTCAAAGAGAATTATCAAGGTCAAGGTCTAGATCTAGATCTGTCAGACGTGATTTCCCAGAATTGGATATTCCTCGGGAAGAAGATTGGATAGAGTTGTTACCTACTTTCAGCGGAATGTTCAGTAAACGACGTGAGCTGACCATTTACCTTTCATTCTCTTCATTCGTTTATCATGACACCATGCCGCGGTGAAGAGGAATGGTCCCACTTGTTTTTTTCTCTATCATCCTCACTGATCACTGAACACTACTTGGGACATGATGGAGGTTTCAAACAAACAGAGGCATGAGGACCTTTGACTTACCATCAGCTTCTTCCCTTCTAGGCAAATTGTCTCTTTTCTCACTCTTCCGTTCATCCACCTCTCTACCTCCTATCTCCACTCTCGATATCCTATTCCGTTCTTCCGCCATACCAAGCTTAGATACCGGTATTCGTGCTCTCATCGCCTTCCAATCTTACGCCACTTCACTCAAGAATCATCTCGATCAGACTTATCCCTTACCACGTACCATTCCCGTATGGCCCATCTCGACTTCCCCACCATCTCCCGATCCGCATATCCTGGTCTCGTCGGCGGTTGAGACACGTGTGGCGAAACTTCTAGAGGCTTGTCTTGCCGTTATGACCATATCGACTCAACTCGTATGGTTCGGTCCCGAATTGGATCAGGAAGATAGAAGAGAAGTAAGCTCTGTTATCCATCAGGTTATACCTTACATTTTCAAGCTATATGGGTTATTACTAGGATCATCTTTGAAAGAAACAAAGAAAGTAGTGAACAGAACCAATTCCGAGTTACTCGAAGCGTTGTTCGAACCACTCTCATCGTTCGGTAGTTTGTTCGCTCGAGCCGAAGGGTTGATAGCGCGTTTACAACGACACGTTAGACATCGTGTGAGGTCTTCCAAAAACGGAGTCATTTCGATGGAGGACGTATCGGATTCTGAAGCTTTGGAAATTATAAAGCTTCTCGATCTGTTCACTCGATCTCTAGCACCTGTCGCTACACTTCCACTTTCATCTAATACAACTGAACGGGAGGAGTCGCTTGGAGGTGAAGACATGATGGAGGCTATGGCTCGTCCGTTGAGACTTCGATTTGAAGCTGAACTAGCTAGACTCGACCTTCTCTTGGGATTAGCATCCAGAGATAGCGAAGAAGTGACCATCCGGACTTTATACGGTATGGGATTACCATTAGAAGACCTACGAGGGACTGAAGATGAGAAAGAAAAAGCATTAGGATCTTCGACCGAATGGGAAACAATGGTAGATGAAGCTATGGTCAGTTGTATAACCGAAGCAAGGGAGTTTCTGGAAGATGGTAGGATAGGAATACTCGTTGATCATCTCAAGAAAACCGATTGGATCCCAGAACCGATCGAAGAGATTCCATCTTCGAATGGGGATGAAGAAAGGTCGGACAAGGATGAATCGGATCAAAGTGATAATGATAGTGAAGAGGAAAGTGACGAGGATGATGAAGATGATGAAGAAGATGAAGATGACAAAGAGGGAAATATAGATCTTTTCCCTTCATGTCCCCTTCGGACTTTGTTCAGATTACATGATCGGTTCGAAGAGATGAGATTGGCGACTTGGACTGAATTACCTCCGAATAAACGTGGGACTAGTTGGGCTTTTATGCGTGGTGATTTGGGTAAAACGGGTGTTGCGTGGGATAAATTGGGAATGAGGATCCTTATGGATTTGGATGGGTCAGTGGTTTGTTTCCACTTTCCCTCCTTCTCTGTCTTCCTTCATTCTCATTCTTGTCCTCTTACTCGTTCTCGTCCTCTTTCTCCTCGCGGGACGACTTATTCCAATCTCAATCACCTCATTCTCGCTGTTGAAAGTGTCTAATCACTGACACTTCCACCTGGTCACCATCTATACAGCTACACTTGGAGAGATTGAGCTAACATGCAGAGCCACACTCATGCGATACGGTCTCGCCCCCGACGCGCTAGATCAATGGATCGAGAATGCCTCTGCGAAGAATGTCAAGAAGATTCGCCGAAGACGTCGAGTAGCATGAGTATCAGTACCGAGCACTGTAAGATTCAGTCCGAGAAGAGGTGTGTAGGTCAAGTCCTGATCTATAAGTGTGAGAAAGGAGAGCCAGAGAAAGAGACGAGATCATAACCAATGTTGTTTCATTCGTAACCATCTATATAGCCTCATCTATGCATATCGTCAGTGGAGCCCCGCTATACCCATTAACGCATCTCCCCCAAAGTTCGTCTTCTCTCCATCAATTTGATAGCTTCCGTGGCCTGTGGGGGTCCCGTATCATTAGCTTGTACATTCCTCATCTTACTCTCGACTAAGTCACATACCACAAGTGAATTGACTAGAGGAAAACAGTCATAGGTCGGATATTGTAGGAAATCATGTCTACTCGTAAGTACTAGGTGCTCGTTACCCTTATAGCTTACCTGACGTCATTCCACCTATGTTCCACCTTGTCTTCATTTATCTCCCATCCGCATTCCCCCAACTTTCTTTTTCTCGAAATGAATTTGTGTTCCTGATTCAAAACCTTTTCAAGACTGTCAAGATTGACGAAAAAGAACCTGATAGAATAGAGAAAGATGGGACAGACGGAAATTGTTGTCCACCTCAATCAACTTCAAACCCATCAAAACTTAATGTACCTCATCCTGTGTTGGATCCAGAGGGATATGAACTACAAGGGACGTATGAGAAAGTAGGGAAGTTTGAGAAAGTTTATGTTGTGAGTCTCTATTAATCTCTCGACGCTCAACCCGTAACCCTCAACTTTTGATACTCACATGTGTCCGCAATAAGTATATACTAGTCAGATCCTTTCCTTCTCTTCATGCTTACCACATTTCTTCTGACTTTGAAACGTATTGTCTTCGATCTTCTCCGCTGGTCAGTGACTCGTATAAAATGTTATTTAGTAGATGTCTGTTTTGGCAATATAACGAGCTCGGTCCCGCCGCTCTCTATCCTCCCCTGGTCGCTGGCTCTTTCGCCTGGGTCAAGGGTCATACTGGAAGAACCATTGGTTTTATGTCGAATTTCGCTCATGATACAGACAGGACCTGATCATGCTAAACACGCTTTAGTGGTGATTTATGATATCTTTGGATTTTGGTGATTATCTCTTTCCCCCTTTATCTTTCGAGAATTTTCATAGCTGATGTGGCAGGGAGACGACTCAACGTGTGAGTGATCTCCACTAAGGAGTCCTCCATCTCTCCTAGCTCTGAACTCTTGACCCATCACAGACGGTCATCGGCTATGAGCAGACTCGTATTTGTCCCATGATTGGCCATTGACACAAGTTCAAGAGACGAAGAAGATGTGTAGTGGAAGAGAGCTTATGATCAGGGTTCAGACTTACTTGCCAATCATCTTCTCTTAACTCGACCAACGCAGATATATATGCCTGACGTATTCCGTGGACATCCTTTTCCAAAAGATAAAGATGGTGATAAAGAAGAATTAGCAAAGTTTTTCAAGACTACGTGAGTCAAACCCAAATAACCAATATCTAATCTTGCTTATGGTAGTGCAAAGATCAGTGATAGATTACCTGAAGTACTTGAATTTGCCGAACATCTCAAGGAAAAGTTTGACACCGTTTCCATATTAGGATACTGTTGGGGTGAGTTCATGCCCCGATCTCTACTCTCTCATTCGTACATGTGACATCGTGGAAAGGTGAACCAATCGATTGATGGATCAGGCGGTAAAATTGCCCTGCTCTCACTTTCCAAAGACCAACCCGACCCCACGCCGTTCTGTTGCGGGGCTGTCATACATCCTGCTATGATCGCCGAAGAGGACGGGAAAAATCTTGCTGTACCGTTAGGATTTTATCCTAGTATGGATGAACCGAATGATGTGATAAAATCTATCAAGAAGGATATGGAGGAGAAGGACTTTGGTAAGAAGTGCGATTTTCATCATTACGACACTGTGTGAGTGATCTCTTACTTTGTCTATGTCTCTAAATCCTGTCGCTCTCTTCTACGGTGGCGAATCAGGTCCGTCATCTCAAGAAGAACTTTCCGACGAACGGTTGAGAATGGAGGCGTGATTGAGCTGAACGTCACAGACACCACGGCTGGGCAGCGGCTCGGGCCGACCTCAAAGATCCGGAGAACTTGAAGCAATACGAAGATGTCTATCAACGCGCTGCCGACTATTTCTCGCAGTGCTGTTAAGCAAGACCCACACCCTCGTCGCAATAGCTCTTCCTACATCTTCTTTACAATCCCTCTTACGTGTAAAATATATAACATACGATCTCGAACGAACAACATATGCATCTTTCTTTTATCATTACGGCCAGCGATATCGATACCTCCATCTTCTTTGAGGCCAAAACCGAGTGGTCCATAACTCTCTTCGATCGTAATGATTCCGACTGTGTGTTCTCCAAGAACCCCAAGATCGGGCATAGGTTCGTTTGCCCCTGCTGATCAGTGCTCTTCTGATCAAGGACGACACTTGGGGACTTACGGAAAATAGACGTTTTTTCCATGAGCTGAAATCAGTACCAGTATGACATTTTCACAGACACTACTCTACGATCGTTGAAATACGAGAGCAGTGGAGATGGTCGGATGTTGAGATCGATGGATAATCTACACACGACAACAAACGAGACGGAAACGACGACTTACGAAGCGGCCTGATCCAACCACATTGCATACAGAGAAGATCATCCTCATGACCTGCGGGAAGAATCGGGATCCCACACAGATGCGCCGTACGACGAGTTCGAGTGTGGTGTAAGCCGTCTTAACCATCAGTCACAGCTCCCTTCAACATGCAAAGTCTCACGGTTACATGCGGGACAAGTTTGAGCCACCGGTACGGGATATGATGTGTAGTACAGCCCAACTGATCGTCAGTCTTCAAATTCGGTGACCTGCACATCATACCTACCCATCTGATTGACTTCCAATCGTACTTTGTGATTTAGTCTTTAATTGAGAGTGAGAATAGAAGAAGGGATAGAGAGGATCAGGTCATATCGGGTGGCAAACCTCCTGGTAGATTCGAGAGTCTTCGCGGGGTAAGAGTGGAGTTGGAATCCTTTGAGATATATGATCCTTTGTCATTATCTATCAAAGGAGGAACTGACGTAAATCTGTCCTCTTCTCTATTTCCTCTCTACCTCACCTCTCTGATCTTCTCATATACTGACTGTAGGACCGAAACATCTACCAAATCCATAATTCCGAGAAGATTTTCCAATCAGTGTCAACAAACGAAGTAAGGAATACAAGAACATGTCCCTCGATCCAACTCAACCAAAGACGATGCAATATCAATTCCAAACTCCCGTCTTACAGGCTCATTTTCAAAAATCTCCCAATCCCGATGGAGCTATAAGACTTATAGACCAACCGGAAGATGAATTCGTAGAGACTGAAGAAGAGATGAATGTGATTGCAGGAGCTTTGTATATCTTAGCTGTCAAGTGAGTCGCTCTTGACTTGTATCCTTGACATTCTTGACTTCTTTTCTTTGTTCTGTCTTGAATATGGAATATATCCAACATGCAAAACACACTCCTTTTCTCGCATTTTGCTTGAGCCAGGAAGTGACCCATCACTGTGATATCGATAGTATCTCAAGTCTCACTTCCCGATGATGCTGAAATGATTTGAGGTGTGAAGATGCGAATAAAAGATCGTGTGGAGTGGGAGAAAGGAGCAAGAGCTGATGATAGATGGGATAAGTTGCCCGAAGCTGGTAAAACTGGGATCAAGGATGAAGATGCCAGGCCGAAGAATAGGGAAGCACTTCGAAAGGTTTGTCCGAAATCCTACTTTCGTCTTCCCTGCGTCCCTCACTTAAGTTGTTCCCCATCGTTCTCAAGTTCCTCTGTACTTCTCTTTATCGCCTCACTTTTCTCTTGATATCTTTCTGTACTCTGTCTCTCTCTTATCGCCTCTTTCCCACATACTATCTAACCCCTCTCACGACGCCTCTCCTCTCTCTAAAAGTCTCTGCACTCTCTATCCCATAGCCGGTCCCACCTCTCCCTCTCCTACGTCTCTACCTCTTTCCTACTTCATCATTATGCAGATGGATGTTCTCCACAAACAGACCATATGGAATGGAATGAATGCTGACTCTCAGTGGATTATCCAACAAGGTAACATCGTCATTGATCAACTTGCCAACAAAGTTGAACCTCCGTTCGGTGCGTTTACCCTCTATGCTCCTTTCACTTTCATCTCTATTCGCTCGTCTCCCGTCCTCCTCTCCCCACTAGATCTACGATAACGTTTCCCTCTCCATGACCGAAACCTTGTTCTCGTTCGACCGACGTATCTTTGACAATGCCCATTCACGGGGGACAAAGACTGACCGTCTAGCCGCATGGTCGATCGACCAGATTCAGAAAGACGTAAGGGCGATGGTCGAGGAACTCATCCTCAAGGCCATGCCGGTGGAGACAAAGGTTGTGGATGGTAGTAAGAAACCTCCTGTCGCTTCTACTAAATAGATCGTAGTTCGAACGCTATGTATCCTCACATTTTTGCATGTTGCGACATGAGTTAGACGCTCGTCTTCCATATCTGCTTCACTTTTGCCTTGATGCTATCCTTACATGTCTGAGTCATCTGTCAAATTGAAGTTGTTGAACGTGTAGGTGTGGTTGCACTTGACTGATATCACCTACTGCTGGAATGTTGACCCCTGCGCTTTGTTTATGTCCCTCCATAGGTATACGCTGAATGACAACGAAGCGATACCACATAACAACATATCATAAAGTCAAAGAAAACAAAGTGATCGAGATCGAGATCAAAAGTTGGAAAGAAACCTAATGAGATTTCAACTTGAAAACGCTTCTTTTCTACATCTTCATGTCTATCTTCTTCCTTCCTCAATATAACCCATCATGTCTTCGAACATCCCGCAAATGTTCTCTTCGACATCTTCAAACACTACTCCGGCATCACTCTACCCTCGCAGCAACGACCCTCACTATTCCTCGCCCCCTGACGGTGTTAGGTATCGAATCATCAGCAGATGATTCATGTGCCGCTATAGTGACTTCTGACCGATATATATTATCCAATGTGGTGATTAAACAACATGATCAGAATGCGGATTATGGTGGTATACATCCTTTAAAAGCTCAACATGCACATCAAGTGGGAATTGTGAGTAAACCTTTTCATATCTTCCTCTCCACCTCTTTTAGATTCCTTCAACCTTCGTAATCTCTTTTCTTTTTTCCCTCACCACCCCTTCCCTTTTCCTTTACCTTCCCTTCGTAATTTCTTTCTTTCTCTCTTCACCACCACTTCCCGTTTCCCTTACCTTGAGAGGATATAATGAGTTGTGGAAGGGTCAATCTAGATGATACAGGATGACACTTGTACTCCATATTGAGAAGACGCTAGAGATTTGAGAAGACGGCAAATGAATAAGGGAGGAAGAGATATGATGGGATGAAGTGAAACTGAGTGATAGCCTGAAGTTATACGTCTCGCTCTCACTAAAGCTAGAATTACTATTACCCAAGTGGACGCGATAGCATACACAAGAGGACCAGGTATGATAGGATGTCTTTCCGTAGGAGCTTCTTCCGCCAAAGCTTTGGCAGCGGCACATAATATACCTTTGATAGGGGTTCATCATATGGTAAGTTGTTTTCCTTCTCTTCTCCTCCTGTTTGACCCTTATCTTAACATCCCTTCTCTTTTCCCTAATCTATTCTAATCCTCATGTGACGCCCTTCGTGACGCATTCTCAAACTTTCAAAAGTAATGGTCCGACGCATTCCGCCTTGCTAAAACCGCTCAGTTATGATGCACCAGGAGTTAAAATACTATCTTGATTGTTTCATGATTATAGTAGATTAGAATGAGTTCGCTCATAAGATAGCAAGCTCACGCATTAACTCCTCTCCTCACTGAATCTATCCCCCCGGAATATCCATTCTTCGTTTTACTAGTTTCCGGTGGACATACACAACTCGTCTTAGCCAAGTCATTGGATAAATTTCAAATCTTGCTCGATACTCTTGATAATTCCATAGGGTCAGTCAAGTTTCTTTTGTTTCTGTACACAATTCATTTCTCGTCTTCACCTCTTTTTCATTCAAAAGTCTTGGTTGAAATGCATTTCTTCGGATTGACCCAATGACAAAAACTAAATATTGACGCATCAGGAACGTATTTGACAAAGCTGCACGTCTCTTACAACTTCCCCCTTCACTTGAACGGGGACCAGGAGCAGTCTTAGAATATTACGCTTCTCTTTCCTATTCTCAACCCAATAACCAACTTGACAATTCATCAAAATCACATCTCAATTCCTCAACAGACAGCATGTTTCTCCAACATGATTACCAAACACCGAAACTTTTACCTCCTCTCCCGAGACCTCTTCCAAGTAAAACCCAAAAAGCATTCTCGTTCTCCGGATTACTCAGTGCTACAGAACGTCTTGTCAATCAACTTTGTCCTGATGGTAGAGTAGATGAACAAGTACAAAAAGAAATATCTCGTGCGTTCCAATTCGCTACCATGGGACATTTGATCGATAAGGTAAGATTGGTCATGAAGGATTATCCGGACGTTAGAGGGTTGGTTGTGAGTGGTGGAGTTGCATGTAATCAGTATCTCCGACGAAGGTGAGTTTGTCTCCTCCCCTTCATGGACTTAATACTATGTCTTTGACATGAAACAATACGCAGAAGATATTGGAAGTGGGAATAAGTGCTGATGATAGTTTGGAGAAGATGTTACGAGATATTGACAGTAAAGCAAAGTTGTTTTATCCACCCGTGGAACTTTGCACAGGTAAGTAATTCTTTCCCTCAATTTCATTCTGTTTGTTGTAGAGTATCGGCAGTCAACCCGATTTACTCTAGTCGACTGCTATCGTACGGCACATCTCATATGCTACGACCATGCTAAGTGGAACCGACCTAGCTGATGCTCAGATAACGCAGCTATGATTGCTTGGACTGCCATCCTCCGACTTCAGGCTGGGGCCAAGGACGAAGGTTTCGGACTTGCTCTGAGAGCGAAATGGAGTCTTGAAGATTTATATGATGATTTACCTCAGAGATGAAATGTTGAGACATATACTGTCTCGTCGTTCGTCGGTGATTTTCTTATTGAGGTTCATTGCATTCTGCTTGCTTCTTCAACCTGAGCCCAACTTCGACACAATTATTTACCGCCCCTTCGAGCATCACGAACCGGAATTTATGGTGGGAATGCAAACAGGCAGAGTAAGACAAATACCACTGAAACATCTCTGGTAGTCGTGCATCTGGGTCCCAATACACATTCTAGTCACACGCCATGTACATAACGAAAAAAAGGGCAGAGGTGGTGACGTCAAAGGATCGAAAATGGAGAAACGTGAGGTATAGATGGGCCGTCGGAATTTGAGAATGAAAGAATAGGTAAGGTTGGACACGAAAGTCGGATATAGAGAAGAAGAAGAGTGAAAACTGGATAGTGTGATAAAATTCAAAGTATCACACAGTTCCTCTTTTTCTTCATGACAGGAGGTTCGAGAGCAGCAACGATTGCCTAGAAAAAGTCAATATCCTCAACACTCTTTCCTTGTCTCTATCCCCTTGTCTCAAAATATCATGTCAATACAGGAGAACATGACGGATGACAATGCAATTGGATTCAGCTTGTTCAAAGAGCAGTGATAAGGGTTCAAAAGACGGCGGGGAGTGGAAAGTAGAGCATTCGTATTATTTGATTAGAAAGGATGTCTACCAAAACTCACCTCATCAAAAACATTCTTCAATCCCCTTTGAGTCAAAGCTGAACATTCAACATACTTGACAGCTCCGAGTTCTCTGGCAAGCCTTTCACCCTGTTCTACAGTGATAGGTCTAAGTTTCTGCCGAGAAAGTTTTTCGAGATGCTGGGGATCTTCTCGCAGATCTACTTGTGTTCCGACGATGAGGCAAGGAACACCGGGACAATGATGATGTACTTCAGGAAACCATTTCTCCTTTACGTTTTCGAAAGACGCGGGTGAAGTTACACTGAAGCATACGAGGAAGACATCGGTTTGAGGGTATGATAATGGTCGAAGACGATCGTAATCTTCCTGACCTGGGCGAGTTAGTTTGGAACTAAATCATCTCTGTCAAGTCCTAAACCTAGGAAGTAGACTTCCTGATCTTCATGAGTAGGAAGGACGGTAATTCGAGTGGAGAAAGGTGGAGAAAGGGGTGAAAGTACAGTATGAGGAATAATATTACATACCGGCAGTATCAAATAAACCTAAAGTATACGGATCATCTCCAATCATCACCGTCACGGCGTCTTTTACACATCAGCACTAATCTTTACCCGTCGGTATTAAAACTGACAGTTATCAAATACCGTGGGAACGTATTCTGATGGGAACTTGTTGGTCGTGTATGAGATCAAAAGACATGTTCTATAACATCAATATTCGTCTCCAAACTTCCCCAAGAGAAATCACTCACTTGCCAACAGCACCATCCCCTACCACCACACATTTGATCGTTTGCATCGCAGAAAGAGAAAAGAGGGTCAGATGAGAAGATGGATGAGACCCTAGGAATGTCAGCGTGTCAAGTGTGTGTCTGTTTTAGAGGTGTGAGAGGGATATAATTGATCGGCGGCCAGGTGGACAAAGGAGGTCTGCGGTTTTACGGAGGGACACGGAGGTTGTGTGAATTGACGAAATGATCATGTAACTAAGTTTTATAGGAGGAATTGAAAGATCAAATAAGGATGAATCAGATGTCATGAGAAGACATCCCGTTGAGATTGAGGATGGATAGATTGAATAAGGTGGCGAAAGGTATGCTATGAAATGAAGAGGAGTGTGTAAAGGGTACAACATAACCCATCATCATCACGCGTATTCTTCACTATCCATCCTCACCAATTCGAATGACCAGCATGAGGTCCTTATATTGTATCGAGCAGATGTAAGAGGATATGCTCACTTTTCTTTTCGCTTGAAAGAGACGAAAAGCCAGGATCAGCGCGTGATTGAAAAAAAGTTGTTGACTAGTTCGTCCTTCAGATGGTCCCTGGATAGTCTTCCAAACTCTCAATTCTAAAACTGGTCTGATTGTCGCTGTACGGGCAGCCGAAGTCGTGTCCAACACTGATTGTCTGTTTGTAGTCTTCAAAGGTGTCGTGGATAGGGAGAAAGGGTCGAAGGAGTGATGAGAGGTTGAGGTTAGGTGAGAGGAAAGTGTAAGTATGTAGTATCGTCACGGGAGCAAGCTTAACGGGGTTCGACCCACAGTCCACAGGAGGTGCGAGCGTTGGTTCAATTTACTAATACCCATTAGTTTAACAATACTAATCATTCATAGCACAATTAGATTTCATGAAACGCCGGAGTTAGCGGAGAATCAGTGTGGCACAAATGCCCATCTCTTCACCCATGGCCACTCACGAGTGGAGGTTTCCACTCTGCCATTCAGATTCCCAAAGTCACTTCATCTACGAAGACGGACAATAGTAATAGCAGGAGTGTGATCACAATGGCACAACCTACCCCTCCCATCTCGGGTCCATCTTCTCATCAGAATGTTACTGAAAGCTCGAAGAAACCCGTTGTGATACTTTGTATCGGCATGGCTGGTTCGGTGAGTTTTTCAAGCTTTTCCCCGTACTCGAAAGTTGCCGGCCACACAAAAGATCGCAAGGGGTGACAGAGACCCGGCTGACGTTGTAGGGAAAAACAACCTTGATGCAAAGATTAAATTCTTACCTTCACACACAATCGACCCCACCTTATATCCTCAATCTCGATCCTGCCGTCACACATATGCCTTACACAGCCAACATAGATATCCGAGATACTGTCGATTACAAAGAGGTCATGAAGCAATATAACCTTGGTCCTAATGGTGGTATCTTGACAGCTCTCAATCTGTTCACGACGAAATTCGATCAAGTGCTTGGTTTCGTTGAGAAAAGGGCAGAGAGTGTTGAGTAAGTCTTTTTCACACGTCTGTCTTCACTTTTCTTCAAAGCGACTTTTGGAAGACCAGAAAGTTGACACCTAGGTATGTCTTGGTGGATACTCCGGGTCAAATTGAAATCTTTACGTGGTCTGCTTCAGGAGCGATCATCACCGATTCTCTCGCTTCTTCCTTCCCAACAGTGATAGCGTACATCATCGATACACCCCGAACTACGGCCCCGGCAACGTTCATGAGCAATATGCTTTATGCATGTTCGATATTGTACAAAACCAGATTACCATTCGTTTTGGTGTTCAATAAGACAGATGTGGAACCACATGATTTCGCTTTGGAATGGATGGAAGATTGGCAAGCTTTTCAAAGGGATTTAGATGCGAGAGGGAGGGATGAACATGGAGAAACGAGTTATTTGAATTCATTAATGGGAAGTATGAGTTTGGTATTGGAGGAGTTTTACAGTAATTTGAGAGTGCGTCTTGAATCTACTCTTTTAATATTTCTTCCCTCTCTCGTCTTATCCTCCACGTCCGTATCATCATTCCACATTCTACCATTTGGCTAAGCTGCATGCTTCAAGATTCCAGGGGGCCCAGGAGTGAAAGAGAAGATTTTGAATCTTGTCAAAAGCTGATGACAGGCCGTCGGGGTCAGTGCAATGACAGGAGAAGGTATGCGAGCCTTCTTCTCTGCTATAGAAGAGGCTCGAAAGGAATACGAATTGTATGTCCGCTCTATTAATACCCGTCTCTCTCACAACGACCATCTCCAAAAATACCGTGGAGCGAGACTTTGTTGATGACTCAGGGATTACAAGCCAGAGCTTGACCGTCTGACAGCCGAACGTGCTCAACAGACAGAAGCCGATAAGAAAGATAATTTGGCGAGGTTGATGAAGGATATGACTGTCACTCCCGGTCAAAATAACCCTTTTGGGCCTCATGCGAGGAACGAGCGAGAAGATCGGTGTGTCATTTCGTTCTCTCCATCGGTGTCATTGGAGTCGTGTCACGTCCAGAAAAGAGGCTATAATTTCTTGATATATTTGCGAGACATGCAGACGCTGATAGGCCAGGGATATGGATGAGGGTGGTCCCGATTCAGAGGAAGAACGGGAAATACAACGACAAGAGGAAGAAGAGGCAGAAGCGGAGAATGAAGAGACTTTCGATGTCCGGGATATGGAACCTCCGGATATCATGACTATGCCAACGGGGAGTACTGGTATGCGCTGGCCTAGACCACAATGATCCAATCCCAAGATATATCTGTCTTATCTCTCTTCGACTCATATCGGTCCAACAACATCAAACATCAAAATCAGAAACAGTGTGATAGAGCAAAACTATGTCATTCGGAATTGATGGTTCAGCAGTCATTGTATGCATAATTACATTTTGGGTATCATTCCTTTTTGTGTGCGATGTCAATATATGTTTCTATCCTTCTTCCTTTCCTCTACCTCTTCTCTTTCTCTAATTCATGTTCTCCTTCATACCGTCTCCTCGAGTCGTACGTTGTGTTTTATGACTATATGTGAAATCTAATGGTCCAAATCTTTCAGATCAAACTCTGGCAATTTATCACCACAAGTTCCCCATCCTTCCAATCCCAAAGCTACCTTTTCCAACAACTCCCCAGCTCTCTCCACGGAATCATTCACAATGACCAGATCGTGTCCCTCTTTGATGGCATACTCCACTTCCGCCCTAGCCGCTTCAAGACGTTTACGCATACCTTCGTCTGTCTCCGTACCACGACCTTTAAGACGACGTTTGAGTTCCGGCAAGGAAGGTGGGGAAAGGAAAAGGAATACAGGACGTAGTGGAGGGTTCTGAAGTGGAGCTTTGGTACGGAGTTGAAGTACACCTTGAAGTTCTATATCTAGTATGCAACGACGTGGGTAAAGAGCTGTAAGAGCTGCGAAGGTGGTACCGTAACTATCTGTCAATAATAGGTTCTTGAATGGAAGTGCACAAAAAACTAATCGACTGACCAATTACCTCCAAACTGCGCCCACTCTAAAAACTCGCCCTTTTCCACCCGAGACATGAACTCTTCCTTGCTCACAAAATGATATTCTTTTCCATTCGTTTCGCCAGCTCGAGGAGCTCTGGTAGTGTGGGAAACTGAGAACCCGAACGTATTTGGGTATAAGGCGAAGAGAGCCGTAAGAAGAGTTGATTTTCCAGTACCGGAAGGACCACATACCACCAGAGGCTAGGGTTCAGCTCAAAAGTCAATTTCCCAAGAGCTGCTGAATCTGTTTGGCTGAGACTGTTTGTACACACAAGGATGATGCTACCTAGGGACAGACCGGGTAGGTCAGGGAGAGAAGAGAATGCCGTCAAGAAGCTGGAACATGTCGTAGCAAAGGACTTGAACTCACCCTGTCGACAACAAGGGGGTTCATCTCTTTTGCTGCCATGGTGGTATACCGACGACGAGGAAGAGAGGCGGAGGCCAAGCGGAGGGAGGAACGAGGGAAAGTTTGAGGAAAACGTAACAGATTGGGATCTGATAGCTGTTAAAGGAGAGAAACAGAAGGATGAGTAGGACAATCAGCTTTTATATCATGACGAGTAAAGGGCGTCACGTATCAAAGAAAGCGTTGTCGCCATGATCCCAAAGTCTCAATATTCGCTTCCCACACAAGTCATCAGGAACCACCCGCTATTTTCGCCACACCGAACTCTCCTTCCGGTGATATCTCGGCATATATGGCGGCGTTATTTAACACCTCGAGCTTTGCGCTCCTTCTTCTCTTCTTCCATCTTGCACGCCTAGTTGACTAAACAACCTCCACCCTCAACGTCCATCAAAGAATATGGAACTCTCAAACCAAGCTGTAGACGCTGCTTTCCCCGATCTGCCACCTCTACACTCCATAGACAACATTGAATCCCTTCATCCTGCTTATGGTCGGAAAGGCGAAGAAGCTTCCGATGCAGAAGCCGCTCTTGAAGCATTACGCGCAGCCATCAATTCCAATATTGATGATGAATTTCCTCCCTCTCATCCGGCTTCACCACCGGGGACAGTCGCAGAGGCCGAGGCACGACATCATGTCGGATCTGTGGCTGTGAAGATCGTTCAGAAAGTGGAAGAATTAAGTAGGTCGATAGAAGAAACGGGAGAGATGTTGCAGAATATGGAAAGACACAGGAATCTGCTTTTACAGAGTAATAAAAGACAGATGGATATCGTCAAACAGATCTTATCTGATTTGACTGATAATGGTAGGTCCTTCTCGCCCCCTTATAGCCATCAGCTTCCTTCCGATATCTTGGGATTTGTGTCGAGAGAGCTGACATGAGTAGATGGTCAAGCGTTCATAGACCCGACCTTGTACCTTCCTTCCAGAGCCGATTTTGACGATCTACAAGCCCGCTACGACGCTTTGGTCGCTACTCAACCAGGTCACAAAAAGAAGAAGTCAAAGAAAGAAACTCAGAAAATTGTAGAACTTCCACCTGCGGAGAGCATTACACCTCCGATTGACGGACGCACACCGAGCGGGAGGAAGAAACGATCTTTGAAATTAGAGGTCTGTCTTTGAGCTGCCAATCCTTCCTGCCCCTCCCTACTGAGCCCAGTCTCGACTGAGAAGTTCTCGCTCACCTCAGTGATGACGCCACGCGATGTTGTACTGACGGACAGCATCTAGTACACAAAATGGCAAATCGCCGTCTTGGTGTCGAATACCTTATCACTCATTTCGAAGCAAGAGGCACTCGTGATCTTCCCCCTCCAGGATCTGTTCCCCCTTCCGCCGAAGAATCTATCAACCAGGTGCAGGAATTCCGTCCTGATTTCCGAGCTGATGTGGCTCATCCGTCCGTTCGCCCCTTCTTAGATCAAGTTTGGGAGGATGTGGTTTACGACTGGGAAAATGGGGTGGGCATCGGAGAGCCTGATGTTGACAGAGAGAAAATCAGGGAGGCTGTAGGAGTTTATTGGGTCCGTTTAGGGGTGAGTCCTTACAAGATATGCTAATTCCTGGAATCGGTAAAGTGATATCGACGACACTGATGGAGCAGAAGCGATATGATGAACAAATGGCACGAGAAAGAGGAGAAGTGCATAAAGATGAACTCATCAGGAGGAAACAAAATCAATATCGTCGTCAACAATCCGTACGTGTCTCTCACTCTGGTCATCAAAAGTTCCCCAATGGACACGAGGGAAAGTAGGCTGATAACGTAGCTACTAGCAAGACGCACTGCTGCTTTTGATAATAGTCCTTTGAACCAATGCCGATTTAGGTCTCTATATAGAACCCTTCTGACTATCGATTTTGCTCCAGCTACCAACGATAGACCGGATCCTTCAAGAGCATATTCAGAAGACGAGTGGAACGCTTATCGTAAACTCGCATTAGGGTCGAAAGGTGCAGATGCTCATGAGATCATTGATCAGTTCTGGGTGTCACCAGCCGTAAGTTCTCCTCTCGATCACCCCTTGCAGAGATGCTTATCAGACGTCATTCTTCCCAAGATGGGTCATGCTTCCTATTTCTTTTCTCACGATGTACAACATGTGATGTGTGTAAACTGATATGTAGGTCCGCTCCCTCCTCAACCTCCTCGACGTTTCCGCCACAGACCAGATAGCGCGTGCCAGACGCAAAGGTCGTCCCAAAGCCCCGGCACCAACTTTCCATCTTCCGTCTTCTCTATGGGATCGCACATCCCTCCCATTACTTCGACCTAAAGACTCTCAAGGACTTCCCATGTCCGGCGCACCTGGTCTTATCCTCTTCAAGTTCCACGTCGATCCGCAGGTCCAGCGCGACAACCCTGACTGGGCAGAGGGATTATACGACACCCCACCCATCCCCGACTCCGACGCTCTCTTCCCTTCTCTCTCCGAAGTTATGTCCTCCGCAAGGCATCAACATCTAATCATCCGTGCTCAAATAGCTAAACAAGCGGCCGATGTGACTCCTCTTGGGCCAGAGGAGATACAGGATGTTCTGAATCGGACTGAAGACATGGACGTGGATCCGGATGGAAGTTTCGAGCTCGTCACTGATGGTGGAGGGGCTACAGAAGGTTTATCGACTTTGGTAGATCTACAAGAACTTGGGCCTCCTTCCATTGGAGATGGACAGATCGTGGGCCCTTCTCCTGGGAGTAGTGTTCGAGCTAGGAAACAAGCAAAGAGATCAGCGGCCGAGTTACCGGGAGGAGCGGCAATGCCTGTTGCTAAACGGCTTAGGGATGATGAGACGGGGGATGAAGGTGGAGAACTGGAAGTGATAGAAGATGTTTCCTTTCTCGGGATCTAGACGGGCCTCGTTCTATGTATGTCTCTTGAGTATGTTGATACTCTGCGACTATGTTGTACAAGTATATCGTCACGATCATGCCCTCGCAATGGGGATGCGCAATGGGTGCCACTTTGAACGGGTATCTCGCGGTGACGCCAAAGTGCCACTTTTATAAATCCGCTCGGGAAACTTTCCGCTCCCACCCTTTCTTCCCTTTCCCACCCAGCAAAGACTTTATCCTTCAAGTTAATTCCTACATCGTGTACAATGGTCAACCTTCGACTGCAGAAACGGCTCGCGGCCAGCGTGGCGGGTGTGGGTAAACGAAAGAGTGAGTCTGTGTTTGGTTTTCTGGAGAGGATGAGGGAGATCTTCGGTTCACCGTAATATCTGTCCTAGTGGCTGGTAGCTCCGTAAAGTCGTTCCCACTAATGGGCTATCGGTTCCGAACCCTTGGTCTCATGAGTCCATACATCGAAGAAGGTAGCAGGAAGAAGGATGGACCATTGAACTGACTTTCAGTCTGGTGTGATCCCCAAGAAGCCGCCGAGATCAGTCAGGCAAACTCCCGTTCTGGGGTTCGTAAACTCTTGCAAGATGGTCACATGTGAGTCCTTCCCTCTATCTAGGAGAGATCATTTCAACAGAGTGTATGGGGGATGAGAAACGGTATTGATATCGTAGCATCACTAAACCATCCGTCACTCATTCGCGAGCTCGTACTCGTGATCACAACGCTGCCAAACGTCAAGGTCGTCACACCGGTTACGGTAAACGTAAAGGTACAGCCGATGCTCGTATGCCTGTCAAAGTACAATGGTTGAGGAGAATGAGAGTTTTGAGGAGGTTGTTGAGGAAGTATCGTGAAGGTGGAAAGATTGATAAACATCTGTAAGTTTTCTTCTTTTCAGATGCCTACTTCCCTCTTCACCTACGTTAACTCTTCAATTTTGTATGTATAACCCTTGCTTGTCTCTAAGAATACCCTTGTCATGCGTCATGAAACAAAGAAGGACGTTATAATTTTGGTCGCTCGACTGACACTCAGTTACCACTCCCTTTACCTCGAAGCCAAGGGTAACAAATTCAAGAACAAGCGTGTCTTGATGGAACACATTCACAAAGCCAAAGCCGAGAAACTTCGTACTAAACATATCGCCGAACAGATGGAGGCTCGTCGTGTCAAGAACAAGGCGATGCGGGAGAGGAAGGCTCTCAGGTTGGCCGAGAAGAGGCAAGGGATCATCGAAGTCGAACACGAGGAGAACAAGGAGTAGTCGAGTTCTCTGTCCGATTTGGATGCATGTGTATGATCATGCCTTGTTCATTGTGCAATGTCAGTTGCAGTTGTAGTCTCCAGCTTGTGCATTAGCAATCTTCCTACTGTTCCAGGAAATGGTATGGGTGTCATGGTCAGGTGCTTTTGAATGAATGAATACAATCCGTTATTGCGGTGGAGGCCGTCCGATCGAACTGCAAGTTCATGGTAGTATTCACCGTCTTTCCTCGTCTACCACTTCACCTTTATCACACTTATCATGTCCCGCCTCTCCCCGTCGGCCATACTTCGGTCCGTGAGACCATCACCAAGTCAGCTCGGTGGCCTCGGTGGGTTAAGAACGAGACAAGCAAGTCTCTCTCCTCATACACCCCCAATAACACCCTACGACATATTCGATGAGCCGTCCAAGGCCCGCCAGAGGGATCGAGCTATTAGACGGCTGAAGGAGAGAGGAGATCCGGTGGGGATAGTGGATTATATAAGAGAAGAATTAGCTGAGAGGTTAGCGGAGAGGGTTGAGGTGAGTGGGCTCGATTTTGCAGACCTCCTCGAGATCACGAGTACGACTGGAAACACCATGTATCGTCTGTTTCCTGTTATTGTAGACCATCGTTCCCCTGTTTGTCTGTTGAAGATTATCAGGAGCTCTCTACACTCTTTACTGTCTTAGCGCCAGAATGAGCTAGGTCATGAGTGGACTGCTTTCCCATACTGCCTCTGCGTCAATCCTTGGGTGGTTAGTGTAGTACGGAGTAGGGCATAGGACCGAAATCATGTGACAGCCAGACTTCTAGTGAAGATGAACAGGAATGTACTGATTATAAACAGGATTTGAAATCTCCACCAAAAAGTATACTGGATCTATGTTCACATTCCGGTCAACTCACCAAGATTTTACAAGAGACACTTCCGGAAGAAGAGAGGACTTGGTATATGGTTGAACCATCGTGTGAGTTTCTCAACCAACATCAGTCGAACATCGTCTGTCTCTTCCATCCCCTCTGGAATGATGTTATTTTCATGTTACCTAGAGTGAGATTGATTCCTTTCTCTATTGAGTCACTCTTGACTTCGGTAAGGACATCAGCAGAATGGTTTTCTCAAAATAAAAGGCTATATCTCCAGTCAAAAGTAAAGATGGTCAATGAAGGTTTAGTATTGATCGTATAGCTGAAGCTCTTTATCGAGATGCTGATAATTCTTTTCCCTGTAAGTAATATAAATCATTCCATAGTAGGAGTCTGAGACCAGATCCTCCGCGACGTATACAAGCATCACCAGCAAATATCCTCGCAAACCCTGAATTGAACGTTTTGAAAGATACTTTTGAAGCTGTAGTCAGTTCTGCAGGATTACATTGGGTAGGTGATATTGTCGGTCAGTCTTTCCTGCCTTAGAACATGACTTATTGAGATCAAGGTTCCCAAAGAGAACGAGTGGCTAATGAATAGGTGCTTTGACACAAATAAGACATCTTTTAAAACCTGATGGAGTATTTGTAGGTGCTGTATTGGGAGGTGATACTTTGTTTGAATTACGGTAAGTCATTTTCATATACTTTGACACTTCTTCCGAAACTGAGTACGACTCATACTCTTCTCATAAGTTTGAAGTTGATGAGTTCGGGACTGAGAAGTGGCGTTTAAGTCGTGGATGTTGATTGATAGAACTTCTTTGCAACTGGCGGAACAGGAGAGAAGAGGGGGTATAGCAAATAGAGTATCACCGATGATTAGTATGTGTTTTCTTTCTCTTTTTCCTTTCTACCTCTCCTCGAAGCTTCTTCCTCCACATGCTCTCTACCGGTCAACACCGGTGCACTTCGGTTAGCGGTGCGAGCTGGGTGGATGATACCACACGTAGGTTTGAATACTCATGATCAGATCCCACAGACGCTCCTTCTCTTTTGACTCGCGCGGGTTTCACACTCACCACAGTGGATATTGAAGACATGTCTATCCGCTATCCTTCAATGTGGGAACTTATCTCTGATCTGAGAGATATGGGAGAGTCAAATGCTATCCTTGGACGGAGAGCTTACATCCCACGGGATGTGTTATTAGCTGCAGAGGGGATTTATAAAGGTGAGTCCGAGGTACATACTTTAGTTGATATAGTGAATCAGTCACCAGTCCGTCCACTTCGTTTTGCGCCCCCGCATCATATGTCGTATTTCATGATCAGAACTCATTACACAATATTGAGAAAACAGCGATACTGATCTTGTAGAGATGTACGGTAGTGATGCAGAACCCGGTGTTCCTGCCACTTTCCAAATCATCTACCTCATCGGCTGGAAACCAGGACCGACCGAACCAAAACCTCTAGAGCGTGGGACAGGTCGTACAAGTCTCAAAGATGTCTTATGATATGTATTTACCACCTAGGATAGTGCTAACTCAATAATCTATCTCACCTCTATATATCCTGACACAATATTCAAACTCACATCACCTTTGCCGCCTCACATCACCTTTGTCGCTGATGAGGGTGTAGGAGGTGGAAGGGACATAGATTGTCTTATTGATATCCCACTAATTGATTCTCTCAAACCTTGAGGAGTACTCAATACCCAACTTTTCTCATTTTCTCTTTCCCCTTCTTTCCCCACCTTCTGATCATCTTCTCCACCTTCCCCGATCTTCTTTTCCTTGATCATCTCCACCCCAGTTAACCCACCACGTACAATAGGAGTCTTCGGTGAAATCGTATCGTCAATTACCCCATTGTTCATCTTATTCACAGTAGGGACATTGGTATGGGTCAAGTCAGCCAAGTAAGTGATCTTTCCCCTTCCCTTATCAGGTGCTGATTTCGAAGCTTGGGTATTGGTGGAATGAAGAGATAAAGCGGAAGGACGACGTTTGTTAGGTAATACAGGTCGACTAGGGGCGAAACCTTGCCATCCTTCGAAAATTCCAATATCGATGGGTGAAGTAGGTTCAGATTGAGATTGATAAAGTTGTATTGAATCACGATGTTTATCTTTGGTTTTCTTGTGAGTTTTCTCTTTATTCTCTTTTCCTTTCTTATCCGTATGATTATTTTTCTTCTCTTGATTCTCATGTTCCCCTTCAGTAGTTTTATCCTTGGATTTACTATGTTTTCTATCTTTATCCTTCGTTTCTTTATTGCTCTTTGTTCTCTTTTCTTTATCTCCTTCTTTACTACTGCTTCCTTTCCTATCTTTATCTTCATCTTTCTTCTTCTTCTCCTTGTCCTTACTCTTTTCCCTTCCATGTTCTGGTTTGGAGACTTTCTCTTTTGACCCTTTATCATTCTTGACGTTATTTCCCCCCACATCCCGCATGATCACCGTTGATTCTGAAGGAACGCCCAAGGAAGAACTCCTAGGTATTTGGGGTAGAGGCGATCTGGTGATTTCGGGAAATTCCCCTAAACTGGTCAAATCGGCAGTGGTATGTCTTCTCTTCAGAATATGGAATGGACGGAAAGGTGAATGAGCACTTGGACTTTTCATCCCTCTGACCGAAGCTGCCGTAAACAATTGATCTTCCGCCACGCCATGTAAAGCGAGAGGTTCGGTCCATGCGAGAGAAGGAATATCCGGTTCACTGGAATATCTCTGAGGTAGAGGTGGTTGGAAAGCTTGATCCATAGATGCTGATTTCTTGGGTCGACGCTTGAGGAGGAGCAAAGAATCTGGTCTGAACTTGGACTTAGACTTGATCGGCATTAACTCTTTTGATTTGACGTTGGTCTTCTGGCCTGGATCATTCCGAGGTTGAGAGGGATCAGAAAGAGGTGTATTGTCAACGGGAGTGTGGGTGTGATGAGAGGAGGTAGCAAGTGCTGCAGTGACTGCAGTTGCTGCTCCGATTGACATCCTAGCCAAAGCCGAACTACTGGATAACCAAACTTTCTCTTTGGGTATTGGTGTTCTTGCCACATCTTTTTCTTGCAGATTTCCCACTTGCGCCATGACTACTGACTTGCTTGGAGTATGTACTTCCCCACTACTCGGTCTAATCTTGACTCCTTCCTCCAACATTATTGAACTCCTCTTATCCCCCATATTGATTCCAGGGGCGAAAGGATTTCTCGACCCAAATGTCATTCCACTGAACCTCGATTCGTCTGCCGGAGAATGAACTGTGATCGCTGGAACGGATACAGCTTTAGGATATCTAACATCTGCCCGAACATGTGTAAAAGATATTCTTTGAGCTAAACCGACTTGTCCAGGTGACATAGAATCTCTATTTCCAGGTGTCATCAAACTCATCGGTGTGTCTGTTTTCGAACTCTCTGGAAGAGATGCTGATCGAAGTCTTGAAGGTCCCGCTTCTGCTTGATGTCGAGGTAATGAAGGAGGAATTTGTGTGTTACTTGGGAAAAGACCGTTTTTGATGGAAACCAGATCTTCTGATCCTCCTGCGGATATACGTCGAATGGTTAAACTTCCAATGGAAGATAAAAGAGAAGGACGTCTTTCTCCCATATCCACCATCCCTCTCAGACGTTCTTCTTCCCCAGGATTGAAATCTTCAACATCAGACGCTACTTTCTTCCCAGTATATTCCAATTCTTCATGAGCTTTACTAAATTTTCTCAAAGGGTATCCTAAAATCCCCACTCCAGTGGAAAGGGAAGAAATACGAGGATGGAGATTTCCTGGTGTCAAAGTTGACATGGAATCGAAAGAACTTCTAGCCAATGCATCAGATGAACTTGCCGCTCTGAGAGTAATGGATTCAGATGATGAAGCAGCAAGAGATGAAGCGATAGAAAGTAATCGTTTATTTTGATCTTGTTCCGGTACAGCTGATATTCTTCTGATATTGACAGATTGTTTCGAGAATGTAGGTTGGACTAATGTCGTATCAGATGATGTGATATCTGTTTCTCTTCTCCATGATTGTTGTTGTTCTTGTGCCGCGGCATGTTGGGTCTTGGTACCGCATGTTGGACATGTATGTTCTTCGTGGGTATTCCATGATGATGGTAGAGGAGGAAGTTCGAAAAGAGGTATTGAATTGGTATATGTCTTTTGACCAGTTGAGGAATTTTTAGGTGGATACCAAATTCCCCGAGAGAACCTACCTTGACGACCATGAACCGGGTATTTCCTACGATACAGAAGAGCGAGAGAGATGATGAGAAAGAATGTTCCTATGGGTACTAGAACTGGCACTGTGAAGAATCAGTATACTACAATCGTGCAAAGATAGTTTATTGGAGTCGACGACTTACGAATGATCTTTCCAGTATCACTCAGACCCATCTTCCTATTCTTGCCAATCCGATTGTTACACCCCGCGCGAGAGGAAGTATGTTACAATAAGCACAAACAATTTCTTCTCCGCTAGACATGTACACAGGGAGAGATAAGAAGGAGAAGATCTCCAAAGGTTCCCATGATCCCTGAAACAATGCATGAATGGAAGGTATTCACAAAGGGCTTCTTTGGTATAACCCGAGGGCCGAGGATGTCGGTGAAAGTCAAGGAAAGTGCCACATGCCACGAGGTGCCACATTCAACTCTCAAGTTGCAAGCACAGACCTGAGTCAACTTTGTTATCGAAAACAGATCTTCTTCTTCATCACCACGATAAATCGACCAGGATGAACACTTCCGATAGTAGTGGATCAGTAGCATCTACATCCACATTGGGGTCTCGTAATATTCCAAACGGATCAGTGAGGATTCTCAAGGGAAAGGGGAAAGAGAAGATGGAACAATGTCAGTCCACGCCCTGTCTTACCATATGTCTTGTCACAAGTTAACGATCAGTCACTTTTACATTGGGCAAATTGGATGCTGGAATGGTACGTTTCTACTCCTCTGGTTGAATATTTCCCGGTTTGTGAAGATGATATTGACACGTTTAGGCCATTTTATTAGGTCCAAACGCTCATCTATTGGAATTTCCATCATTGTTGCTTCCCACGCCCTCACCAGGCAATCCACCTCTTGGACCAGGATCAATTTTGACCATCACAGTATCTCGTGACCTTGCCGCTGAGGCTGAAGCTCATCGTATATTCGAGAAATTACAAGATGATATCCTGTCGACTTATACCATCCCACCTCAAACCCCAGTTTTGAGAATAAGAAATGTGACACAGACCAGTGTGTGTGTGGAGTGGGACAAGTTGGATATTGGTAGTAGCACCTTTCGAGCACTTGAGATGTTCAGGAATGGACAACGATGGGGTAGAGTAGGGGGGGAATGGGGTAGAAAAGAAAGAGAGAAAAGAGAATGGAAAACTGGTGGGTTACAAAGTGGTGATGAGTATTCATTTCAATTGGTTCTGTAAGTTTACATGTTTCTTTCTCATGACATGTGCTCATACAATTCAGAAAAACAACGGCGGGAATATATCGTTCAAACATCTTGCGAGTACGTACACACACCATGGAGTAAGTCATACCTCTTTCAAAAGACATTTTCTAATCGAAAGCAATCTCACCGGATTGTTAATACATTTCGGACCTATCGAACCTCCCTCCTTACTCGATCAATTGCGTCGATGTCTTCAGCAAATCGGAGCTAGAGAAAGTCCCACTGTGGCACTGGATACCACTCATTATGTCTGCACTGGTGTGGAGGATACACGGGATAGGAATTATCAAGAGGCTTTGAGGGTAAATCTACCCTTGGTGGTTCCGGGATGGCTTCTGGCCGTAGCTGGGGAACGCAGGTATGTTTTTTTCCCTCCTAAAAATCACCGAGAATTACATTTTGTGCATGTGTAGCAGACAAGAGATTGACTCATAGACTCGTTCCCATTTCTAGTTACATCCTTCCAACCCCAGTAGCGAGCTCCGCCCCAGCACCAGCTCCTGCACCTTTCAAACGACCAGAACCTCTCAAGAGATCTTCTCTACCTTTTTCAGCTCCTTCGTCTCCCATCCGTGAGAATACAGAAGAGATTCGTCGTTCACCTAGTCCGGAGACGATCGCACGTATGAGCATGACTGGGTCGCGCTTGCCCAGTCAGCCTGAACGAAGGGCAAGTAAAGACGTGTCCACCCCCGACATACCCACGAGAGTCAGAACTCCTAAACCGGAGGCAATCGGTAAACTCGATAGAAGCTTCAAATTTCCAACATCTGTTCCCAATAGTGCCAATAGCCTGACCTCTTCACGCTCGGGTGATGGCCGAACATCATTGCAAGCCTCACGATCGGTACAATCGTCAGATTCACCCATTGCATCGTCAGTCCACGAGATGGATGATGAATATGTCAAGGCCGTATCGTCCTCGTCTATAAAGGCTCCGGCGTCGTACGAAGAGACCACGATTGCTCACGCTCCCGAGATCGCTTCCCCGACAGTTTTAACCAACTCAGAACCAGTGCCAACGGATGCTCCTCTAGCCTCGCCGAAGTCTGCTGCAAAATCAAATGGTCATGAAGTACACCAGGAGGACCCATCGGGGCTCAAAGCCATGTCCATCGACGACGCCGTGAAGGATTTTCATCGAGCAATACAAACTCCGGAATCGGTCGACACGCCTACTCGACCTGAGGACGCCCACTTCTCTGACACGGCAGAACCTTCACCGGTCACACCTCAGGAAGAAGCGTCTCCTGCCTCGTCGCCTGAAGATGTTCCACTCGGATCCCCAGTCGATCACCTTGAGAGGAGAGACTCGAAATTGGCGACGAATCCCTCCCCTTCCCCGGCTGGACATCCCGCGGCTGAGGACATACCACCAATTGCGCCTAGAAGGAAAGTGTCACTTGCACCGAGAGTCAAGTCATCAGAAGTGATAGAACAAGTAGACGCTGGCCATGGTGAAGAACGTATGACGGAAATTGATCTAAACTAGATAACCAGTATATCATTGCTACAGAGTGTATACGTGAAGAGGTTGGAGTCATGACGTTCAGAAGCATGGTGCAGGAACTCCTGTCCCAGCTGAAGGCTCGGCCCCGGCGGGTCATGGATTCCGAATACTCGTACTGATTGCAGCTGGCAGATCCGGGTCACGAAGTAACAAGCCGTCTGGGGGTACGGTGGGGAAACATGGGAGCCCCATAATCGACTCATCCGACTCCGTGGCAAGGTTTTAGAGACCTTGAACGGGCACCGGACGCCACTTACGGTCTCTCCCACTTCCACCTCGAATGCAAGAACACCTCAGAGGAATAAACGGCGCCGGTGTGTCCCGAATCTGAGAACCTCTTCGCATCTCTCGTTTTTGTCGCCTTCTCCTTCAACTCCTTTCGTATGGCTACCAGACGGCCAATCTCTCTCTTACCAGTGACATGTGAGGTGTTAAATACTAACGTTGACCCCGCATCTCACATGCTCATCTGTATACTATCACCCTTCTCAGCCTCTCTGAAGTAAGACCCACGGTAAATACCAGAAACAAGTATTGGTTCATTGCCCGCCATGGAACCTACTATGCATGATATCGACGTCAAAACGGAGGTGTCACATGTGGAAGATGCAAAACCGCAAGAGATTCTCGAAACGCGTTTTGTCTGTGAGTGATCGACCACCTTCCTTCTGGTCCTCTCATTTCTCTTCTATCTCTATATCATGAACCTTCTCAATGATGTTCAACCCCACCCTCCTCCGTCCACAGCTTCCCATGATACATCCCGCCTTAAGTGCCTCCTATCCTGTGGCCCATTTGTGTCGCTTCGTGGGACCTCTGCTTGCTGTTCCGATCAATTTTCTCTGATTGTGGCCCATACGCTTTGGTCTGATTGTCTGGCTCATGTTGCTACTCCGCCATCTCGATTACCACTGAGTTTGAAACTGATCTTCAGCCGAAACCGTTTGAAGACCATGCGCAAGTTCTGGAAACCGCTCTTGTTCTGCATGATGGTCAATTGGGCGGCTCTTAACGATGGTTTTCAGAACCAACTTCCCGGAAATATCATTGCCAATTCTGGTTTCATTCACACCATGGCCAATTCCGTCGTCGATGGTTCTCCTGCCATCTCGTCCAATGTCATTTCCCTCTGGGGAGGCATAGGGGCTGTAGCTCAGACTATTGGTCAAGCTGTCGGTGCGACCTCGTCGGACTACATAGGTCGAAAGGGAGCCATGTGGATGTTTGCTATACTCTTCCTTGCTTCGTCTGGGGTATCCATCGGAGCTAGTAATTGGAAGGTGAGTCGACTTTATCTTTGTGACAACGGAGTTTTGAGCCTGAAACACAGGTCTGGCTCGGAGCCAAAGTGCTCAATCAACTAGCACTTGGTATCGCCATTTCTACCATTGTCACATACCTTTCCGAAGTCGCTCCATTCCAACTGCGTGGTATGATGATGGTTAGGGCTTCACATTTTTTCAGAAGGAGACGGGCTGATTGATTAGGGTAGCTATCAGCTCATGTTCGGTATCGGTCAATTCATTGGGTCCATAGCTACGCAAGTTTTACAAGACACCAACCCCGAAAAATGGCGACCTACCATCGCATCTGAATTCGTCATCACCGGTATCTTCGTCATCTTCCTAATCTTCGTCCCTGAATCTCATTACTACTACGCCAGGAAGGGTCAAGATGAGAAAGCAAAGAAAGTTATGAGAAGGGTATATGGTAATATTGAAGATTATGATGTGGATTATGAATATTTGGTCATTGAACAATCTCTTCAACATGAGAAATCGCTTCACCATTTACAACATCAAGCCGATTGAAGAAAAAATTTCCAAGGTTCAAATCTTCGACGTACTATAGCCGGTACTCTCGGTATTATCGCTCAACCATTCAGTGGTGGACCCGTTATCTTTAATTACTCTTCTTACTTCTTCACCATCATCGGTCTCGACAAACCTTTTTTGATCACCCTTATCACCTTCCTTACTCTGTTGATCACTGTTGCCTTTGCACTTTTCATTTGCGAATGGGTCGGTCGTTGACCTACGCTCATGTGGGGTTGTGTGGCTATGCTCGTTTTCAACATCGGTTTGGGTGCTACAGGATCAGCAGACACACCATCTTCACATAGTGCAGCACTCGCCATGATCATCTTGTGGATCATCTCTTACGGTTTATCAACAGCACCTATAGGATTTGCTTCGGCTGGTGAAACTTCTACTCCACGTCTTCGAGCTAAAACCACCTCGTTCATTCTCACAGTCTTCGCCGCTGTTTACCTCATCTTTCAATGGACCGTTCCTTATATGATCGCTCCCGATGCTGCCAATCTTGGCGTCAAGGCTGCTTATATCTTTGCTGGTTTTCTGGTGCCTGTGATTATCGCTCTGTATTTCTATTTCCCGGAAACCACAGGTCAGTGTTCTTTTCGTCATTACTCTCTGCATTTCTCCTTTGCCATATTTACCCTCTTCATTCACACATTTATCGTCGTTACACAAACAGATTCTTCGATACGACGCTTTTGAACTTTATGATAGTGAACGCAGTACTGTCAGTGCTGATGAATCAGGTCGTACTTATGCAGAACTTGACGAGCTATTTGAACGTAGAGTACCTGCTCGCAAGTTCAAAGATGCCGTCACATTGGCCGAAGCTGTGGGAATCAAGTATGGAGAGCTGGTCACTCACAAGCCAGTTACGGGGGTTGGGGCTGATACCGCGTGAAATGGCATGAAAGGATTATGAGTCGTGTCTAGTAGTTTTGTTTGATGATTGGGTAGTTTCAAATCTTGGGTATTCGTAGCAAACAATGTATGAAGTATCAATCGGTCGATCCTTGACATGAACTTGTCTTAAATTGGTATACTTGTTGACCCCACCTTACTGCTGACCAATCACCATAGCCAGTACGAATGGTTGAACCTGAAGGTACGGTATAACACATATGATTCATCTTCATTTTTGTTACTGCTACGACACAAAAGATCCTAGATTTCCACTCCTGTTACGGTACTTTATACAGTAGATACACCCGATCTCACTCTCCCTTGAAATACACGTTTCTCCCCGACTTGAATCACCAGAAAGACCAAAAGTTTTCAAGCCGGGTCGGGATCATTGATGTCCTCTTTGTGGATTGGCATCTCATGTTTTTGTGCTGTAAGTTCTGCCATCCTGGCAGCAGCAGCGGAACGACCACCAGTTCTTCCCACATCAAAGACGTAAGAGATTTCTTCCATCGTCAAACCCTTCGTTTCGGCTTTGTTGATCAGCTTCTTTCAACCATGAATATGAGAAAGACTAACGGAAATAAACCCAAATGATACCTGTAAGTATGGCCAATATGGCGATGTAGACGATATAATATTTTCAAGCGATATCATCGAGGGCGATTGGATTAACCCAAGTATTGACGGCAATGGCGACATTTTGAACAGATACCCAAATAGCCATACCTTTGATACGCATATGATAAGGGAGTATTTCGACTGGATAAGCGTATGCTAAAGGTGTCCAATCGATATCTATTCAATCAACAATTTTGATCTTTCCTTGAAAGAAATATATAAATGAATAGACATACCGTAAAACCCATAGTATATGAAAAGAAAAGGAATAACAGCGGTTCCGACAGCTTTAGTACCATGTTGAGCATAACCAGCTGAAAGACCGGTAATAACACAATAAGATAAAAGCATACCAATGGTAGATGCTAACCAAAGAAAACGTCTTCCAAGTTGTTCCACATAAAGACAAGCAAGTGAAGCTAAGATTAAATTCCAAATGGCCATCCCACCATTTAAAGCTTCGATTTGTTTAGGAGAGGTTATACCGATACTGTTTAGGATAGAAGCGAGATAATAAGCTACGAGAGCATTACCGACCCAATTGGTACCGACTGAAATGGTGAGGATGACGATTAAACGACGTCGATTGGCGGAAGTGGCAAGGAAATCCATATAAGATACTTTCTTTGAAACTTCTTCATCGGCGAGAGCAGCGACTATTTCTTCGTATTCGTAGTTGATCAGAGGATCGGCGAGATCGCCATTGGCATGATGTTTGGCAAGAAGTTCACGAGCCTTTTCGTTTTCACCGATTGACACAAGCCACTATACTTGTTAGCAAGACTTGCTACCACATGGCTATGTCAAGGGAAATAGAGCAGGAGGAGAAGGGGAGAATGAAATCAATGAGTGTCGATAGCGAAACGGAGAACGCTAAGATGAAGGAGGCTACTCACTCGAGGAGATTCAGGAGCAGTCGCCGTCATGAGAAGGACAAGGCCAGGCCCGAGGAGTTGAAGATAACATGGAAGTCGCCAGGCTCTGTTTCCCGTATAACTGAGGGTGGCATAACAGGTCCAACCTGAAGGTCAGTGAGTTCGGAGATCATAGCAGAGTAAGCGGAGCAGTTTACACCAAGACTAGCAGCGAACGTGATCATCGGTTGACTATGGGGTAGGTAAATGCAAGACGGTCTCGTGACTCACCAGAGATAATAGCGGCCACATAGTAAATACTGCACTGTCCTGGTCAGTATGTGCGGCGTCCATAAGACAAAGATAAACTCACGAAGAAATCCTCCAACAGTGGCCCTATAACGAGGATGGGCGATTTCTTGTACCAGTGTAGGACCACATGTTAAGCAGAAAGCACTTCCTACACCCATCACCTTATAGGTCAGCTCGAATCATACTTCTGATTGTTTCATGTGGTTAGGGGAGATAAACTCACAGCTCTACCAGCGATATACATTCCCCAAGATGTCGAAGCGGAGTTGACAATGGCCCCAGCCATGACAATCGCAGTTCCTATCCATATAGCAATGAGACGTCCGTATCTCGTAGCTACCCAGTCGGCAACAAAGGCCATGACAACCATAGGTAAGTAAAGGATGGCACCTGCGAGACCGAGGATATTTCCAGTAGGATGACCGAAATATTCTTGCCATTGTGGGATACCTTGAAGACCATTGAAGAGAGAGCCGTCATCTCGAATGTATCAGCCAAAGTTGTAGAGATCCCAATAGATTTCTGAGTGTACAATGTGAGTCATAAACAGGAGCATTGCTGGAAAGGGGTGAAAGGGAGAAGCAAGTCGCGTGAGCACGCGCGGCCCTATATTTGGCCATTCCACTTATGCCGGTACGCCGGAAAGAGCGGAGGACTAGGAAGGAATGGGAGGAATTTTGAAAGACGGAGAGACCGAGTGAACTCACAACCAGCAAAGAAAAGTGTACCACATAACCCAATACAATGTACCATATTCCACCTGAGACCTGAATCACCGTCAGCACTACCACCACAACCACGACCATGACCATGACCACGAAGGAGACGGAGACCAAATAAGTCACGACTCACAGGGATCACGCTACCACCATTTGGCCGTGTTGTTCGGGATCTCTCTGAAGTGAACGGGGATACCGTCTTCGGTGGGCATGGTGATGAAGATGAGGGAGGTGTTGGTGTTGAGTAGAACAGTATGCAAGTAGGTGCGGGGCGCCTTGGGGAACTCGGAGAAGGTATTCTTATATGCCAAGTCAAAGTCAACCTGGAATACAGAAGTTGTGGTCACTACCCCGGTTAGTTCGGATAGCTCGGATCAAGCAAAGCGGATCAAGGTACGGTCAATCAATCAAGGCACACTCACGCCCCCCTCAGGTCACGTTTTTTGGAGATCTTTCAATTTACCCCACATCGGTCCGCAACTCCGTGTCCGGAGTCATCCTCACCTGTAACGCCCTGCCTCGAGTATCCGATATAGAAGGATGAAAGCAATGAGGTAGCGGTCATCTATCCTTAGACGCCCTAATCAACATATCTAACACTGACTTGATTTGACTTTGATACCATCTTGATTCCTTCCCTCATCATCTGCAAAGTGAATCACCATGGCTCATCCTTATCAAGCCAGTCAGCTTTTTTCCTGTCGAGGATGGGTCGTCCTTGGTGAGTCGTCCATGTACAAGAGCGATTTAAGAGTTGATCATCAGTTACGGGTGGTGGAACAGGTATCGGCCTCAGTGAGTAACCTCAAGAGATGTAAACAGTTTGCTGAGAGGATTAGTGTGCGCCAAAGCGTTTGCAGCGAATGGAGCAAAAGTGTACATCACTGGTCGACGTGAAGAAATGCTTAACAATGCCGTCAAAGTACATGGTCCAGCACTCGAGGAGCTAGGAGGAAAGCTGGTTCCGATCGTGATGGACGTGACCAAGAAAGAGTCGATCTTAGCCGCGGTGGAGGTTGTCAAGGCGAACGATGGTTTTCTCTCATGGTAAGTTGTAGTCAATGTGGTATTCTGTTGTTAAGGAACACGGTTGATAGACCAGTCTTGTGAATAATGCTGGTGGAGAAGGTGGACGTCCTACTCATGGTCCTAAAGACGGTATCGAAGCCTACTCCAAAGCAATGTTCGCAGAAGCGGACCAAGTGGAAAAAGCTTGGCTTAACCCCTATCAACTGATGTGTGTCGCTCCGTACCTCTGCACAGCCGCTTTCCTTCCTCTTATCGATGTGGCAAGAAAGAATAGTCCTCAGAAGATTCCTGGAAATATTATCAACATTTCGTCTTTGTCAGGACTGACGAAATGGTCGCAGAATGGACAATTCGCTTATAACGTGAGTGGCCACCTCCCCTAGATTCCCCTACTTCCTGGATTGATATAGGTAAGGAACTTGTTGCTGAGGTTTCAGTGTGCCAAATCCGCCGTGATCCAACTCACCAGGCTCCTTGCTACCGATCTCTGTCCTGAGCATCTTAACATAAGGGTCAACTCCCTCGCGCCTGGTTATTTCGCATCGGAGCTCACGACTGGCAAATCAGGCTCGGATAACTTCTCCCCCTGGCCATTGGACGAATACAAAGCTGAGATGAAACGGGTCCATTCACTCTCTGATAGGCCTGGTACTGAACAAGAGATGGCTCAGGTGAGTCGAGCCGGACAACTCGTCATCTCATACCGATCCTATAAATGACATGCATCCCGTGTTTATCGCTCAAGGCAGGGCGTAGTATGAGAGGGGCGCTGAATCAGATAGGGCATTCTCTACCTCGCTTGTAATGGATACGTCAACGGTCAAACTGTTCTTATCGATGGAGGTCTTCTCCTTCGCCACCCCTAGAAAGGATTTGTAAATCATTTCGAAGATCTTGTAGTCATACACATGACATGCACATCGTGATATTTTCCGAGCCGTAACAAGGGTTGCTCTGGTGAACGAGTCATCTACAAGCTCCGTGATCTTTAGAAACATCATTCCTGCACTTTGGCACTAAACTCTCAAATTTCCTTCCCCTTCTTCTCCAACTCCAAAAACTGTTTTCCAGCACCAATAATAATTTCTTCAAAAGGAGTCCACCTCATGCCAACTTCCTTTGTCGCTCTGTTCATCAGCACGAATTTTACTTGGTCCTACTCCATCACCTGAGTTCAAAAAAAAGCCGGCATGGAAGTGACTAGGGGAAGGATCACATTGATGACTCACTTGCTCCCGTCCCATTTGAAAACATCATCCACGGCCTTCTCTTTGAACGGTGGTATCCTATGTGCCTGATCCGGGAATGCCTTCTTTAGAACGCTAGCAATCATCTCCTGTGTGAACCCGTTGACGCCGCATAAATACCGTTGACCTGCTGCGTGAGGGAGTAACATGGCTCGAACATGGCATGTGGCCATATCCCCTATATCCACACAGGGAGGGGCGACAGGAGCTGTCGGAATGGATTTGGCGTCGAAGAATTCTGCTACACGTTGACAGGAGAGTGGCAGATCTGCGGGAGTTTTGACAGGTTGTTTCGTAGGTCCGAACACTGTGGTAGGGATGGCTCTAGGCTTCAGCATGTCCACCAGATTCGTGTCCTGTATTCTAAACTCCATCGTAAGTGAGAGAAGAACACTCATGAGAAAGGGACAAGGAGATATTGAAAAGTAGCTTACACGCTCAATTCATATGGTGGTTTCTCAGTCTCCATATATTTCCAAGCAGCTTGTTCGGCCTCTTTCTTTGAACAACCTGGAAATCAGCATCCTTCATTCCCTCCCTCCCTCGTGCCAACGTAAGCACGTCCAAGACTGCAAAATGAACGACGAGGGACCGCGCGGCAATAGTAGTCTACCGAGGGGACGTGGGGTGACAAAAAAGAGATGAAAAGACTCACAGTATATCAGCGCATCATCAATCTTCTCTTGACACGCCCTCTCATAAGTGATAGGACACCAACAACTCTCATCATACACCAAATCCGGGTTCCAAGGTTGACCATAATCCTCCATGGCTCCGAAAGACGAAGTCACTACGATTCTTCGTATCCCTTCCACCTTGTGAGCAGCTTTGAGAACGTTCAAAGTTCCTCTGATGGCAGGAAGTAGCATGTCGGCTTCTGGGTCATTACAGCGGACTCCCAGAGGGAAAGCTGTATAAATCACATAATCAACACCCTGATGATCAGCGGACTCTTCATATAACCCTACTCCATTCTTCGGCTGATCATGTTCGAGCATATCTTGGCATACAACCACCTCAGGAGTTTCCAGCAGCAGGTCCTACAGGAGGACTTGGTCTTTGGAACAGAGGTCAATGTGAGGGAGAAAGAGGAGATACTGCACTCACCTTAACAGCGTCGTCAAATGCTCCTTCAATAACAATATCGGGGACGTATGACCACTCAAGTGTTTCCTTGAACTGAAAATACAACTTCTCCCATGTTTTCGCTTTATTTTCATTTCTCACTGCTCCTCGAACAGTCCAGCCATCATTGAGAAGCTGAACAGCGATCTCAGTAATTAAATACCCCGAGATCCCACTGAAGATCAACGAGGCGTCGATGAAAAGAGAGCTTGGAGTCCGCGGGGGAAAGGGTGGAAGACGATGACCTACGTGACGAGAACAAACAAACGTGGGACAATGGTCGAGCACCATTTGGCACATCCGTAGAAGTTTAGCGGCGTATTCTACACATTCTTTTTGTGCGGCCTGAATGAACGCGTTGGGGGCTGCTAGAAGGACCTCTGGACGGGCGGCTTCAACGAAAGTAAATATGGCGATTCGACAGAGATCACAACTGCTCATCAGCTCTGAATTCTCTAATGTGGCAGTCATAGTATTGTTGGGATAGTCAACTCACTAAAAGATGTAATGCCAGACATGAAGAGGGAACAATGCTGTGATTTGAGCGGAGTGGATGGGGAAAGGCATTCCTTCAATCCTCAATTTCCAATTCTGGTGGAAGATTCTCTTTCCATCATTGCAATGATCTTCTGCATTTCCAAGAAGTTGAGTTATCCTCCCATGGATAAGTTGTATCACTAGACAGATTTCTCACATATCTAAAGTAATGTCAGCTTTTATTTCTCCTCATCTATGTGAAGGAGATACGAACGAAAGAATTTTAGTTCTGATTGCAAATGCACAAATATACTGGCATAACGGACTTTGAGCTGTACGTGGATTTTGAGTTGGACTGGACCATACACCATCTTGACCCATATCTGGAAGTAATAATCGTCCAGAGTCGTACTCCTCTCCGCTCGAGAACGCATCTTCGTCACATGGTAACGGGATACGCATGGCCGAATGAGGGATGTTTGTGTACTCTGAAAATCCGTCTGAAACGTACATGTCGATCATGTACACGGCCCACATGAGACGACGACGTGATTCGATTTCAAACCATGAAAGACGGGTACGTTTCGATTCTTGTGAATTGGCGTCGAAATTATTTAGTCGGAGGGCGAAGGCCAGTCTGACAAAATCAGCTTCAGACCTCCTCCAAATACATCTGACGAGTCATCAGATGGAGAGAATCGCGGCGCCGCCTCACCTGATAGCACTGCCCGAAGTCATCCATGTCGCTACCAAATCTCTGGCATATAGGTCAAAGTGGAAGCATATGACCAGACTCCCTAAGGTCGCGCTGGTCATCCGACCATTTTCAATTTCCATCATGGCTTGTCGTTTTGCCTCGGCGATCCATTTCTGTGCCGGTGAGGAGTCGGGCAAAACGAATTTGGCAGAGATTGCACAAACTGCTAGCAACAAGCAGAGAGAGACTGACTCATCTTCGACTGCTTTGGTGAAGGTTGGACGATGGAGGAAAGGGAATATTGTACATGGATAGACTTCAACGAAATAGGCGTTCATGAGATCTCGTATGAGTCGAGATGTACCAACTTGACTCATGACGGCTTGACTGTCAGTCAGCTTATCTATCCTTCTTTCTGCAAAACAAACTGAAACTCACAACCTAGATAACGGAGAAGTCGACGAAATGGGCAAATGTACCGCTTGAAGATCTTTCTCGTATACACATGGAACACCTTTGAGTAGACAACCTCCGCATTCAGGTCGTTCTTTGGAACATTCAATAGAGGAAGATTGACATGCTAAGCAAGATGATCCGTCCCCTGTTTTACGCAGTATACGACGTTTAGGGAAGACTATCAAATATCAATTCCTCTCTGGTCCATTCAACAATGAGGGAAAGACTCACGACCGTCATCAGGAGTATCCCAAACACATCTCAAGCCCAATCGTCTGCATGCTCCACATTGACCTCCTTGACCATCTCCGTCGACTCCTGGATGTCCATCCTCGTCGCATCGTACTCGTCGACGCTTACACTGCAAGCACCCTAAAACCTCAACTTGGTAAATCAACATCATAAGCACTTCAACTCACCTGTACGAACACGCGTCCTTTTGCCTTTGGGCTTGCCTTCAGTTTGAGTTTTTGAAGAAGACCGCCTTGAATCTGTTCCGGGTGTGGGGGGGAAATTGTCTGCGGGGGTCCCTTGAGTACTAGAGGGTGTCCTAGTTGATGATTTCTGTGCTCCAGTTGAAGCATACTGTTGGTTTATTTCTGAGTTCTTGTAATTTTGGATGTGACTTTGCGAGTGTGACGTAGTAACCATGGATAGAGGCGAAATCATTCCTGTCCCTGTTCCGTCCAATCCACCCCTACCCGCGGCCGAGACGGACTCATGTCCGTCGTGGGTCTGCATAAGGTTGTCGTTTCAGGTAAAAACGTCGACCTCGTTGCCTGGATACCAAGAGCTAGTGACAGAACAAACGAGTGAACCGGAAGGATGACAAGAATCGTACAGATTCAAGCGGAATGTCAAAGAAGAAACCACGTCGTCTTTACACTTTGACTTATTGTTAAGCCGTGTAAATCCGTTTGAATGACCTGCCAGGTGAGCTCAGCCTCTAGGAGTGTATCTCATATGAACGGAGACTATGAGAAGAGTAGGAAGCTGAAGCTCCAATACCATCCTAAACAGGAGTGTAACCCACCATAGTCCAATTGGTGAGAGGCGGGTAACAGTAGAAGCCGAAGAACCGGACCGAATGACCGTTCGCTCGGTTAGGTCGGAATGGTCACTTGAAATCCTCCTCAATCTCTCCTACATCGTTGTAGGCATTAGCATACGGAGCTGAGAATTTCATTCGAAAAATGTATACATTTGTTGCACCAGCTACAATTGCGTACTCGTACTCGTACTCTGATATCCATTCCCCTTCTCCCGCATCTTCTACACGTCATGCTTATCTCCGCCACCATAAAGGCTCTCCGATCCGTGCGCCTTCCCACTCTTCCCACACCCCGCCCTCTCGCTGGGTCTGGTCCGTCACTTCCTACCATCCGCTCACTCGCCACATCTGTAGAGACCATCAAGACCACAGAAGCCGGTGCCGTCACTGGTACTCTTCTCAAGGGTATCGATGGTAAAGCCGCCTACGCCACATCCCTTCGAGAGATCCCCCCTTTTCCTTATGCCAATTTGTCGAAGAAGGGACCCTTCGGTGATTTCCGTGACGAACTCGCGAAGGATGGAGTCACCGTAGTCAAGAATGCCATCCCCAGAGAACGAGCTCTTGAATACAGGGACGAAGCCTTCAAGTGGCTCGAGGCTTGGCCATTTGGGTTCAAGCGAGACGATCCCAGTACATGGAACAATGATCATCTTCCTATCCAACAGCCCAACCGTCCGGGGATGTATGACGCATATGGGGTCCATCACGAGCAGTTCATGTGGGATATACGGACCGAGCCAGGGGTTCATGGGGCCTTTGCAAAACTTTGGGGAACAGAGGAGCTCGTCTCGTCGTTTGATGGCTTGACCGTGATGTTACCTACAAACCCAAAACCAAAGGAGATGGTGAGTCCAACCATAGAGATTCACCCCGGACGTTTGAGGACATAGTAGAGATCGATAAGTATACATGACTGATCATCAGTTCTGGCCTCACATCGATCAATCACCTCATCGTCGAGGATTCTTCGTAGCCCAAGGCTTGGTCAATTTGAATGACAATGGTCCACAAGATGGAGGGTTGTTGGTGATGAAAGGATCGAGCTCCGTATTAGAACAATTTTTCGATGAAGTCGGCAGACCACCACTCCCTTCGAGCAAAATCGACTGGCACCTCTTCTCGAGAGACGAAAAACAATGGTTCCTCGATCACGGATGCGAGTGGGTGAAAGTTTGCGCCGAACCTGGTGACCTCATCCTGTGGAGCAGCTCGACCATTCATCAAAACACTCCTCCCCAGACCGATCAACCTCGAGTGGTCAGCTATGTCTGTATGGGTCCCAGCCACCTTCAGACCTCAGAGGATAAGGCCATACGTAGCATGTGTTGGACCCTTGGGGATGGTACGGTAAGTTTTCTGCTTGACTACCTCAACCAACTCATTGAGATTGCTGGGTGATGTAAAGGTTGGGGATCGGGGAAAGGTGAGTAGGGAAATCACTGACCTCAGACACACGCACCTTTCCACGGCGTCGCATCTGCCAAAGTCGCACCATATATCCGAGATCAAACGGGGCTGCCGGATAGGGAGTGGGATCGACGCATCAATCCTGTCAAACCGACGAAGAAGGTTTTACAGTTGGCTGGTCAACTGCCATACTGAAGGATGACAAATGGACTGCTGCTGTCTGTTTGACCCCGGAAGGGAGCCATGTGGGAGTCAACCGGGACCGTTGGGACTTTTAGGTAGCAAGATGGTCTTGATCAAGTCATGATAGTGTATCCTTGTCTTGATGGAAAGCTTTCCTTGTCTTGTAGATATCGTACATGTCCTAGAGCGATGTAAGATGAATGGCAAGATGTAAAATGTCACACCGGTGCCTGCCCACCGTTTGTTATCTCGGAACGTTCCGAACCCTACCATGACTCAGTCACTACTACTACTATGTACTGTCATGCTACTTCTTCCTCCCTCTGATTCCTGACATTGACGCCTACTACATTTTCCAGGATCATGGCCGTCGAGCTTGAGGAGGGTAGTATCCCCGCTGATGCTCTCGAAGCTTTGAGGGTGGATGCGAGTCTACCCATATGTCTGGCTTGTGGGACCCAATATCCGGTTGCTAGAACCGATTGTTAGTATCCTCTTCGATCTCCGCTAAGCCCGCACCATCACTCTTCAAGTAGAGGTAGTTGCCGAAGTTGACAAACAGGTCCCATATGCGAAGATCCGAGACAATTCGTCCCTCCCTCCGGTCAAGCATGGACGACCTTGGCCGATTTGTCCTCCAATAGAAAACACACCCTTCTTCCCGATAAGGAGGATAAGAGAGTGACTTTCATCCAGACAATACCGGGTTTTGGGATTGACCAGACTCGTGAGTTATCCTTCATGTTCACCTTCCGTCCTGATTATCCTGTCTAGTGGGTGGAGTGACATCGTTTGAGACAGATGAGATAGAAACGAGCTGATGATAGCAACATTGATCGAGACCGGGTCTGGTAGTTACATATGGGATTGCGCCGCTTTACTCACTCCTCATCTCATCTCATATCTCAAATCTCTCAAAACGCCCTTGAAAGCGATAGCTATCTCTCATCCTCATGTGAGTATCATTTTTGGTATCTCTTTTCCCCTGTCGTGTACGCGCCTCCCTGAAAGTCCTTTTTCCTTCGTATTACTTAAGTTACCCGCCCTGTCAATCATGAGGCAGATGCTGGGACCTGTACTGATCACAGTTCTTCTCTACTAGCCTGACCTGGGCAAGGGTCCTCCAAGTCCCTTTATACATATGCGAAGACGATAAACCGTGGTTCCAGCGTCTGAGCGATGTCTCAGAGGGAGAGATCAAGTGGTGGAGAGGCAAACAGGAGTTGGGACCTGGTGTAACGGTGATTCAATGTGGAGGGTATGTCCCTGCCGTTCTCCTCTTATGTTCTTCCGTTCCTCAACTGCTCATTCACACCTTGCGAGTATACCACTTCCCAAGCACCCCTGCAACTGGAACGCTGACGGACTAGGCATTTTGAAGGCTCCGCTATCCTTCACTGGGACCGACTGAGTGAACCCGCTCCCCCCGTCGACGACTTGCCGACCTCGCCAACCCCAGTCTCAGGTCTCATCCTCACAGCAGACACCATCATGGTTCAACGCACGCAGAAACGATTCACCTTCTTATGGAGTGCGCCTAACATGGTGAGTACCTCAACTCCTCTATTCTCTCCATGTTCAAGGATCTTGTCCTTATGAGAGGTTGACTCTATAGATCCCCTTAAACCCTACCGATGTCGTAGGTATCTGGAACAGGGTCAAAACTTTCCCTTTCTCTCAAGCGACCTCCTCGTGGCCTGGAAGGTTTATTCGATCAGATGCCAAGAGTGTCCTGGAGGAAAGTGTGAGGGAGTATCTAAAGGCCATGGGATGGGAATGGGATGGTGAGAATAGCTTTGTCCCTCTGTAATCTTGTCTCACAGCTGGTTGTAGAATCTTTCGAGTATATTCATGCAAAGTAAAGTATCGGTCTGAATTTGAGCTTCATAGTATGGACGTTTCATAGACGCGTGATTGCCACTGGCCAATGAAGAACATCGCCCCCTTCCCCCACCCTTCCCCCGGTGACTCGGTCATCAATCTACTCATCTTCTTTCCTCATCTCCTCTTCTATCTCACTTTCTTACACTCTTACCAGGGAGATATACAAGATGTCATCCCCCCCACCTACCCCCAGTAAAGATGCGCCAAACCCTGCTGCTCTAGCAATCCCTGCTACCCCTGCGACCCCATCTCCAGGCACAACTGATTCCACCACACCGACCCCTCTGGCTCCTACCCCGGCACCTGGTGTTGGCGTCTTGGTGGATGTCCCACAGCATGCTGTTGAGGATCCCGGTGATGTTAAAGTCACAGAATTACATACCATGTTTCCCTCTGTGGAGAAGAGTGTGATTGGGATCATCCTCGAATCGTGCGGCGGTAGTCAAGATAGGGCCATCGAGCAGTTGCTCAGTATGACGGACGAGAATTTCAAGCCGGATGAGTTGGTACACGTGAGGCAAGAAGAGGCGGTGAGCTCAATTCTCTCTCAAGTACACTCTCATACCTCCCTGATCCTTCATGCTGGCGTCTATCATGAGACTACCGCGAAGACTCTGCTCAAAGGCACCCCCTAGGGTTCTGCGACTGATGACGGACCATGTGTAGGACATATCACCCAGGAGTTCTTTTAATCACCGGTAGATACTGGCTGACGTCGACAGAATCAGCTCGACCTCGATGCGGAGTTCGCACGCTCCCTACAGATACAAGAGGACGAGGATAGTCGTCGGGCTATGGCTGCTCCTCCAAACCAGCTGCCTTATCAACCCCGGATCCGTCATCGTCAGCAGCCCGCACAGGAACCTCAACCTCGTCAGAGTCAAGAAGGAATGCACGATCGATATGGGTGGCAACCTCAGGAAGGTCAACCGGCTGGCATGCTGAACGTGGAGGATAAGCTAGCCAAAGCGGCGGAGGGTGAGGCTCTCCAACCTTCACATCATCGCCTCGGTTCTCATTAATATTTCACTGTGAAGGCCGTGAGATCCGCTGGAGTGACATTACTATTCGAATTGCTCAGTGCTGATACCTTAGTTGGTAAACAGACCTTTTCGTCCCTGCTCAACAAAGCCAAAGGGGCTTTTTCGGACTTTCAAGCTCGTCAAGCTCAACAAAAGGAGATGGCTGCTCAGTCGACCTCTTGGGGTGCTCAACGTGCACAAGGTGATATTTATAGACAGCCATCAGCCCCGGGAGGAGGTAGGGGAGGGGATCAAAATCGCTCAAGGGGCTTATGGAATGACAGTGCTTCGTGAGTTTTGGTCTGCCCTTCGCGATATTTCTCTATCTTTGCACATCTCCTACAAATCATCATCATGCTATCCTGCTGACCGACAGATACTCATCCAGGAGCGAATCATTTTCATCAGACGGGACTGAACTCCCGCAACCCCAGCCGAGACAGGCTCAACCTGTCCTGCACCAATCTGCCGCCCGTTGGCAACCCTCTGACGCATACGGTGAGTATCAAAAACCCGTCCTACTCAGCTGACGGGCATAGATGATCCATTACCACCGAACCGTACACTATCGGGCAATCGTATCGAAGTGACACCAGGTCGTCGATCTCCAGCTAGCGGTCCGAGCCCTCCACCCAAGGGGACTATCGATCCTGGTGAGATGTGGCCTCTACACTTATCACTTATCCCCTTATTTCCTGTCTCGTGACATCTCGTGTGCCTGAAGCTGGACTGATTTTGTAGCCAAATTGGGTATACTCCCGAAGAAGCGTGTCGATCTGCTGTCAACCTCTCCTCCTGTCGGATCCGCGGGCGCGAAGGGCAAAACGCCTCTAGACGATGATGATGACGATCCTAATCCATCATTGCCTTCCGCCCCTCTGAGTGCTTTGGACAAGATACCAAAGACACCCCCCGCCTCGAGCTCCCACAGATTGAGAGACAGTGACGAATTGGATTATGTCCCGTATGTCTCCGTATCCGGTCATCTCGGCGAGGCTAATGTGTAGTAACCCTTTTGATGAGAGGTAACTTACGATGATGATGCCCTTTTACTTGATGTGATCAACATTTGCAACTAGTCGAATAGGTAGCTTGCTGTCACCGCTACTACACCTCGGACAGTGGGAAGAATTGCCGGACGGCTGTTGCAGAAGGGGGGCACTAATAAAGATTTCACGCACATTGATGCAGCTCTCCGTTGGCCGTTGACCGAGCCTCGGCAGTTGATTACTTCTCAGACGCGACTTAATTGCCCGACGGCCCTTTACGAAACTTGGTTGAATAAGGTTCAAACGGATGTCACTCCATCGGAAACGCTTCGGCGGCGTTGTAATCGCATCTCCATCTTCTACCCTCCACCCCGACCCAAAGTTCAACCATAACACCATGGCCGCAGAGTATAAAGCTAGCCAAATACTGACCGAACCCCTCACCAAATCACTACTCATTTCTCAAAGATGTCACTTACATACGATCGACACACTACAGCCGAGCAAGTCTGTAAAGAGTTCGCTCCGCAGATCAAGGGCCGCACCATCTTGGTGACGGGACCCAGTCTCTCAAGCCTTGGCTTCATCACTGCCGCTGCCATGGCAGCGCATGAGCCTGGGTTGTTCATCTTGATTGGGAGAAACGCGACCAGGTGAGTGTTTTGTCGTTAGATCACCTTTCTTCTCATGGATGACGCTGACACTGGGATAGGTTGCACGAAGCCGAAGAGGCATTGCACAAGATCAACTCTGAACTCGAAATCAAGATTGTCCAATGTGACATGTCTGTCATGTCTGAAACCAAGAAGGCTGCCGAGGAGATCTTGAGTTGGAATGTAAACATTGATATTTTGGTCGCCAATGCCGGAGTAGTGAGTCGGAATGATCTGATACTATCTCTTCCCTCGTCCATCTCTCAGACATCAGCTTGCCATGCTTATATCTCACTCGGATATGCATGCACGGAACAATGATACTGATCTTCTAGATGCTAGTACCAGAGACCATCACTCCCGAAGGCTTCGAGCTTACACTCGCTACCAATTATCTGTCGCATTTCTTACTCGCGACCTTGCTCATGCCTCGTATCCTCAACAGCACCTCCAAGAGGATCGTCTGGGTATCAAGTGGTGCCCATAAAATTACGGATCTGAGGTGGGATGACCCGAATTTCAAGGCCGAAGGATCGTATGACCGACTTTTGTCTTAGTGAGTCATCTCGCGCATCACTTTGCGTTTTCGCATTTTACACCCCAGTGAAGTAAGTGTGCTGTGACTGATGGTACAGCGGACAGAGTAAGACAGCAATGGTCCTTATCGCTCGCCAATTAGCCAAGCGTTATGGGTCTCAAGGCTTGCAGTCCTATTCCTTGTGTGTGAGTAACACTTCTTAACATTAACCCCGCATTGGTCAAGAATATTGTTGACCTCTCAGCCTGGACCAAACCCGACAGCTTTGTTGGACCACTTGCCACTTGAAACCCGAGTGGACTTTGGCAACCGGTTTGGAGGGCTATACTTTGAGAACGGAGATATCAACTATGACTCGCCGGTCTGGAAGAAGCCTGAAGAGGGTGCGGCAGTGTGAGTTTGTGTTCGAATACGCTACTTGATCAGCTGGACCCCGGCCACTATATCTCGGACTCATTGTGCCCCTCTCCCCGTCCTCTACCTTTCCGGTGTGTAAATATCGCGTTGATAGTCGCTGATTTGTCAGGATTTGTCGCGCCGCTTTAGATCCTTCCCTGGAACCTAATGGCGCCTTCTTGGAAGACTCGTTGATTGCTGAGGAATCTTGCGCATCTTGGGGAAAGGACCCGGTAAGTCATTGTCAATCGTCACCACCTTCGAGCTGCATGAGGAGTTTCACCACTGACCAGCAGGCTTCAGTCGAAAAGATCTGGGAATGGACGTATAACGTGCTCGGCGAACCAGTCCCAAGTGCTTGATCGGTCACCTCCAGCTTTTGACACGTGTTCAGACACGGTAGAGAATGTGATCCAGAAATAGGGTAGGGTAGGAGATACTGGTGTGTATGTATGCCATGCATAAAGTTGGGCAATATTGAATGACCTTTGCTCAATTACCATCTATGGAAAATCCAGATATCTACCATGGTCGAAGTGGGAACTTCTTCTCTGCTTCCGTGTCGAAGATGTTTATGGGCCAGTAGGCCGGGATGTATTCACCAGGGACATTCCCTCGAACCGGATTCTTCTTTCCAGCCTCACTGATGAGCTTGAAATCTTCTTCTGACAATTCGAAATCGTCAAAATTTGCCTGTTTGTTAGTCACCCTTCTCTCACATCTGCTCTTTACTCTCTTACAAGAGTTTCATGTGGGGTCAACTGGAGGAGGAACAGAACTTACAGCAATTCGACTGGGCGTGACTGATTTAGGAATCACGATGAATCCCTGATGAGCACCCCAAGCAATACAAACTTGAGCAGGCATCTTTCCCAATTTCTGAGCAACTGTTTGTATCTCCGGTAGGTCCATAATCCTCGGTTTACCAGTCGTGTTATTTCCAGATGGAGAATAGGCAGTGATGACTATTCCTTTTTCTTTACCTGATGATCAGTCTACGTTACTATGTTCACATCTTCGCTTTCCCCTCAATGACCATTTGAGTAGTTGACGATGAAGGAAACAAAAGGGAAATTGACTAACAATAATCGAACAAATCTTGTTGTATCAAACCCGGATGACATTCAATTTGGTTGAGAGCCGGTACAACACCAGTAGCATTAATGATAGTTTCTAATTGTTCCTTGTTGAAATTAGACACTCCTATACTTCGTACTTTTTTGCCTTCTTCGTATATTCGACACATCTCCTTCCATGTGGCAGCGATACCAGGAGCTTCTAGATCAATTTTACGTCGGGTTGTACTGCCTTCTTCAAGTGGCTCGAGATCTGGACCGGGAGCAAAAGCCACGGGGAAATGCATAAGCCAAGAATCGAGATAAGGCGTTTGAAGTTGAGATAATGTAAGATCGAGATCTTTCTCAACGTTCTCAGGACGATGACTGTTATTCCATAACTGTTGATAAGCTCTCTTCATCCATTTTCTCATAAAATTCATTGAAGTGAAGGATGAAGACCGAATGTGTATTCTAAGGTTTTGAGGTAAGAGAGGGTCGATGAAACTCACCTTGGATACGAGGAATAATTGCTCTCGTGGTACTCCGGAAGAATGGAGTGCAACAGCGATCTCTGGTTGATTACGATATACAAGAGCACAATCAATATGTCTGTAACCGACTTTGAGAGCTTCGGACACACTAGACTCATCAGTAAAAACACCCAGCCTCATTCGTTGTAGGCTAGACGGAAGACTACGAGCGAGCGATCATGGCATCGAAGGGTTTCGCAGGGAGAGGAACTCACGCAGGTCCTACTTCACCAGGAGGTGATTGCCATGTACCATACCCTATCAAATCCACCTTAAGACCATTGTTTCTGAGATTATCAGCTCACATGAATGTATTTGACGTAAGGCAGAACGAACAGTTTGGCTTTACGTCCAAGAGCCAATCTTTGGCTGGTCGAAGAGAAACATCTTCTCCCTTTTCTTACTCCGCTTCGTGCCAGAAAAGTCAATGGAGTGAGGGCGAGACGTGACATGGTATAGTTTCAAAAGTGTACTGGCCGAGGTTGACCTGGGTCGGACCTTCCCACAGGCTTTAAGAAAGTTGCCAGATGTCAAGACAATACCGGGACCGCCGGGGCCGGAGGGGAAGTCGAAGATGTTTAGCCGACATTTAGCAGACCACCAGCGGCGTCCTCCTTGGTCCTTTCCCAATGAACATGAGCTCAATTCACATGCCAAACTCTTGGACTTAGGAAGACCAGACACGACGTCAAGGAAGATCTCATGGGCAGACTTAGGACCAAGGGGAACCTGTCATTTTCAAACTTGACCGCTGCCCACTCTACTACTGTAGGTGTCCGACAAGCGGATCAATACGGCGCCTTTTGCTGATCAGGAACGCGAACAACGGATCCGATAAATGATGCGAGGAGACTTCAAGGGTCGACTATCTTCACTTCTTCTACATACTGTACTTTTTTACCATCTGTCATCTTAATATGAGCTATCTCGATAAGATAGGGACATCGGTCCGAGTCGTTCTTGAGGATATACCATGCGGACCAGAACAAATGCAATTAGAAGCCATGGAACCGAGCTTGCTCTGTCTCCGTGCGGGAGTTTCATGAGTGGAGTCGATGTCGTCCCGGCTCTATGACCTACAAAGCTTGGTAGGATTCTTCATCGCCGACTCTTCTTCCATTGACATAACTCATCGACTTGCCGTCATATCTGTGTGAGTCACACGATGAACCCTTTCGGCCCATTCAACGCCGCTGCCCTGTTCAACCTTAAGGGATGGGTGGCCGTCGTGACTGATGGTGGTACTGGTATCGGTCTAAGTGAGTCTTCTCCACTCAATCCTTGAGTCATACATGATGAAACGAGAACATTGAGTGAAGGAGATATCTGATAGAATCAGTGGCTACAAAAGCTCTAGCAGCCAATGGAGCGAAAGTCTACATCACTGGTCGTCGATTTAACGTTCTGGAGACTACAATCAAGGAAGTTTCCACACCAGACTTGTTGGGAGATGCGGGAGGATCGATCGTACCACTTCAGATGGACGTGACGGACAAGGTTTCTATAACTAAGGTAGTAGAAGAGATTGGCGAGAAGGAGAAATGGGTCAATCTGTGAGCTTTCAATTGGTTGATCTCCTTTATCAATCGAAGAGCCCAGATCCATGTCTCAGGAGACATGTCAGGTGAGTGATGTGCTGATTAATTTTAGACTTATTAACAACGCCGGAATCTCTTTATCAAAAGCAGACGTGAGCTCAGCAGCCAAAGGTCCAGAGGCATTCCGGGATGGGTTGTTCAATGACGATCCTGCTCAATGGGCGCAGAGTGAGTGGATCTCCCGCCCTGAAAAATCTACCTTCATTGTGCCTATGTTATCCTACTTCTGATATCCATATAATGCTGCTGAACTGGCCCTCACCCCCCCCCCCCCA